GGTCCTACTTGCAGACTTCCCATGGGCATTGGGTTGGCCACTGTGAGAACAGGATCCTCAGCTAGATGAGCCATTGGCAGCTGGCCTGATCCACCGGGGCTCTTGTGTTCTTCCTTAATATATGGGATTTGCAACCACAAGATGTGGTGATGGCCACTAATGTAGATGGCTTTAAAAAGGGATTAGGCAAATTAATGGAGGATGACTGTGTTCTACCTCCAAGATCAGAGGTGACACGCTCTGAATACCAGTTGTTAGTACTCATGTCCAGTTTATGGGCTTTCCCATAGACGTCTGGTTGACCACTGTGAGAAGAATGCTCACCTTTTACCCAATGGGCAGCCTTGCGGCCAAGCAGCCGGGCCTCAATAGTTTTCCAGCGCAGGGGTGAAGGTACACTGCCTCCTCCCTACGTCACGGCCGGCCGTGTCATCTGTGCTGTGGGACAGCCCCAGCCAATCAGCTGGCAAGGTGGGTGTGGCCACGGGCAATTTAATCACAGATATTGAGAAGATATTGAATTATTTGAGTAGGTTTGAACAATTTGGGGCAATTAAAATGTTAAAAGTTAAATAAACTTTGTGGAAGGAGGAGTGTTAAGGTATATAGAAGTATACATATGGTTGATTTGAATATGTTATTATTGAATATGTATATTATTGAATATTGTATACCCAATGTATCAGCTGCCTGGGAGGTTTCACTGTTTGTGTTTTGGTGGTTGGTAAACAACAACAACAATTGATCACAGTGTTGCCGGTCGGCACCCTCTTGCCTCTTTTTTGGATCAAACCCTCTTTTCACACCTTGCTATGGCAATTGCCGGTCACCATGTTATTGGGGCCGGGTAGGAATTTTTCCCACTTGGCAAATTGGCCATTTGGTTTTCGCCTACCTAGTAGCGATCGTCACAACTTTTGTGAGGTTAAGCATTGGGTAAGCCTTTGGTTGGTTGGAGGGGAGGTTGTTGCCTTCGCCTGCCCCTCCTCAGGAAGGGTATCCTGTTAAAGGGATCCGGGGTGTGAATACTATCTGGATGTGGGCTTAGGGCCATGTCACAGCCCTTACGGGGACCCCTCAGGGTGTAAGTCATAGGGCACCCCCTATTGGTGGTTTACCCTTCCGTGGGCTCCCTGCCAGGAGTCAACTTATAGCCTGGCTTCACCCCAATGCCTAAACCAAACCGCTCACATCTGTAACCAATAAAGTTGTGGCCTTTTTGAACCCACAAACCAAAATACTCTATCAGTATGTTTTATTGTTCTCCTACCCACAAATGGGAAAAAAATATGTTATGAAGGGGCCCCCTTTCTCACAACTCACCTTGTTGTTGTTGTTTAGTCGTTTAGTCGTGTCCGACTCTTCGTGACCCCATGGATCAGAGCACGCCAGGCACTCCTGTCTTCCACTGCCTCCCGCAGTTAGGTCAAACTCATGCTGGTAGCTTCGAGAACACTGTCCAACCATCTCGTCCTCTGTCGTCCCCTTCTCCTTGTGCCCTCCATCTTTCCCAACATTGGGGTCTTTTGCAGGGAGTCTTCTCTTCAGATGCTGGGAATTTTGTGGCTCTGGTGCCTTGGCACACAACAGAATGTTGGATCAGACAGACCTAATCTAACTGGGTTGTTCTTGTGTTCTTCACTGGATGTAACGTGTGTTCCTGGTTTCATCTGTGAAGTGTTGGATGACATGCTGCTTCATCATTTTACTTTCAAAGGCAAATTTTAGAGGTGAGCCATGAACCAGAAGTCCCAGATGATGGGCCAGGCATGGGAGTCAATCAAGAGTAGCACAGAAATGTTCCAGGACCAGGCAGATTTTGTTACCAAGGCAAATTCCTAGCCCAAACAATAAGCATATTAAACCTTCCTATCTAATATGACCCAATGATGGCTAGCCTCGGTGGACAAAGCTAGTCCAGAGCCTTCCTTCCTGCTAGGATGATATTCGGTGTAGCAGTGGTGAGAGTTTGGGAGCTGCTCATGGGACCAAAGATTGTTGGGTCTGTACCTGGGAGCACCTGACACTGACTCTGGTGTTGGTAACCTGATGTCCTTCTGAAGTTTTGGACCACGTCTCCAATTGGCCCCAGCCAGCATGGTCAACAGTCAAGGAAGATGTACGCCAAACATCTGGAGCGCACTAGGTTGGGGGAAGAGTAGTTGAATTCCTAGCAGGCCTTCTCTCTCTCTCTCTCTCTCTCTCTCTCTCTCTCTCTCTCTCTCTCTCCCTCTCTCTCTCCCCACTACTGCCAAACACATTATTTGTCTTTCCTGCCAATTTTATAGCAATTTGGATGACACAGTGACAAATCTACTCAGAGGGATATGGAAGACTAAGAAGATAATTATCTGTGGTGGGTGGTGTTCCCGATGTTTCACTTTGGGGTGTTGTCTTCAGATATTTTAAACCGGAGAAGATTACTGACTGACAAATATTTAGAAAGTAAGGTTTCAAAATAAGCAAGCAATGTAAGAACAGAGGATCTTGGACTGGGTGGGTCTTGGCTGTGAGATGATAATAAGGTTTTCCCCCTTTAATAATAGGAGTTGGGTAAGTTTCAACTTCCCTAAGCTTTGTAAAAATATGAATAGGATTACCTGGGCATAATTTATTAATGAATAGCATTTGTTTAGTCCAGTGGCTAACGTGTGGTCTTGAACAAAAAACACCTGCAATAGTGGTCATAAGCAAAGGCCATCACATATAGATCCAACCATATCAGCCCAGACTGGGGCAGTCATCTTTATGGAACCATCCCTATCAGTGCAATCCTGTGAATGTAGAGTCAAAAATAAAATTCACTGTTTTTAAATTCACTTACTCCCAGGTACATGGATTTTAGCTTAAAAATTTGGAGCTCAATAAGCTGCACGCAGTCTCATTCTCTGTGTCCAAATCTGAGGAATGGATCTGAAGTTTCGGAAGCAGCCCAAAGTTGGAGGAGGTTGCTTTGCTTCAAACAAGGTCCACAACTCTTTGAAACAGGTTGCCACTGTACAGGTTGTCCAGAGCAGATGCACACTCTAGGGATTTCTGCCATTGTGGTACTCAATGCAGTGGAGATACTGTATTATTTCCCCGATGATATTGAGGTAGTGACCTTGTCATCAGCCAGACTGCTGCATTAGTACATACTTAGGGGCAGTTCCTCTGACAATTGCTTCTTATCACAATAAAAAGATAGCCCCAGGATTTCTGCAGGTAAACCACAGACACAAAACCAAAACTCCTAATCTTATTGGGTATTAACAAATTATGACTCATGAAGACCTGTGATTTTTTTTCTTTGATGGTTAAAGCCATGTCATTGGGACATGACTATACAGTAATATAAATACCAGCTGCTCACATAGAGTTGTGATATCAAGTTGACTTCTAGATTTTTCTTCAGCCAACCTTGAAGCAAAGCAAAGGTAAGACTTGGGGTGCTTCCATTTTGGGGCTTAGCATTGCAAACGGGTTCCTGAGTTATCACATGTGGCTTGTTGACAACATGTGTTTATTTGTTTTCAACTTAATGGATTTTCCTTGGTAATTGAAAATCTGAATTGGGGAGAGAGAGATACAGGGTAGCATTTTGATGGCAACAACACTGTGTGCTTACTGCCAAAAAGAATAGTTTTTCATGCATTGGGAGCATCGATCCCACAATAATCACCCATCTGGATGCACCCAAGGATTTTAGTGCAATTTAGAGAGCCTAAACTACTTGGATGCGTCATAAATGTACTCTACAGGTAAAATTACATATATTCATTACATCTCATCAGGGCTGGCATCCAGATTAGACTCCAGCTATGAGCCAAAATGTATATCTAGTGGTCAAAAAGTAACCTGAACAGCTGCTACCGCTAGAATGTCATAACATTACTAAAATATATTGCTTTGGTAGAAATAAGTAATTAATAATTAATTTCAATGGGATTTACGTCCAAGTAAAATTTTATGCAGAAATTGTCCTTGAAGAACACATGGGGGGGTGAGGTCACACACTGGCCATGACCACAATATCACAGTTGTTGCCAGCTCCGTCATTTATTGGGTGGAAGTTCTGAAGGGTAAATGATGTGCATTCTGGAAGAACCTATTTGTGTTCTAGCCAAACCCAGTAGACATGAAAGACTGGGAGTGGAGCCAGTGGGTCGTGAGATGTTGGGGTGGCAGCAGCACATGTGGCTCCCCCCCCCTATCTCCACACAATCTTGGATAACCTCTGGATAATTTTTGTAAAGAGTTCTGCTGACTACCTAATCTTTACCAAGCTGGTGGGGGGAAACCCTGCATCAATTGTTCCTTACTTATGTTGCTTCAGGTTCTTCTGCCACAATGAAACTGCTGATTTGTCTTTCCTGCATTCTGAGCATAGCAGCCGCTGTCCCAGTCCGTGTAAGTAGCACTGAACCTGTGGAATGGGGAAACCTGTCAGGCCAACTACAGCTGGAATCTCTTCGTAATACAGTTGTTGCGCACTGTAACAACGTGAAAATGAGATAAAAATAAGTAAAGGTGGTGGGGGATGTCAAAGAGATAACCAGAGCCATTTGGGCTGCTAAGCACACGACATATTTCCTACTCTGGGTATCCGTTCTGCATAGAAAGTTGCAAGCGTGCCACCACATGTGCATTTTGCCCAGTGTGCATATAATGGGAAACCCTGTTTCATAGGCTCTTCCAATCCTGTGTATGTTATTCAAACAGCAATTTATCACACTTGAGTTCACCATTTCAGAATGTGTATGCCCCAAACTGTCATTCATGGAATAACCAACTCTGTATCCTGCTTACCGTATTTTTCGCTCCATAAGACACACTTTTTTCCTCCTAAAAAGTAAGGGAAAGTGTCTGTGCATCTTATGGAGCAAATGTGTGGTCGATCGCCGGCTCCCTTTCTTGCCCCGCCCCCTTGCCCAGACCTCCATTGTTGAATGTTCTGCAGACGGAGGCTGTTTGTTTCCCCAGCGACATGTGACTGGCTGATTAGATTATCTGTCTGGAAACTGTAGAAACGGCTCCCTTTCCTTTCCTAAAGAAGCTGCAGAACTGTGAGTTGAACCCCATAAAAACAGGATTCCCCCCCCCCCTTTGCAAAGTAAGCTCAACAACTTTGAGCCGATCCTCAAAAAACAGGGCTTTTCCCCTTTACAAAAGAAGCTGCACAACTGTGAGCTGGTGCTCAAAAAACAGGGCTTTCCCCCTTTCCTACTCTAAAAACTAGGTGCGTCGTATGGAGCGAAAAATACGGTATATAAACAAGTCCTGGCTCATATGAAGTGGCTGCCTCAATCTGCCTAATGGAAGGGCTGGGTGCACCCCTGGGCTTCCCAGGCAGCATCTCCCTCCCTCCCTCCCTCCCTCCCTGTTATGCCAGGCAGCTGGAAAGCCAGACACCAGCCTCTAGCTGCTGAATCATCATCTTCCTTTCCTTACACCAGCTGCCCCTCTCCTCCTTTGCTCAGGGAAATATCTCTGGGCTCAGAGACATGTTAGGGAAGGCTGATGGGTCTAGACACCTGAAATTCATTTTTGAGCTGGGCCAAAAATGCATTGTGAGATGAGGGAAGAGAGAAGAATTCGCATGGGAGGTGACAGGAACCTGAGGAAATGGGGAATATAGGAGATGTGGAACCTTTGCTTGGGTTCTAGAGGGATACTCCCAATGTCATCCTGTGAGGATAAAGCATGAAATCTAACCCACAAAACACGAAATCTAACCCTGTTTTTATTTCATATGTTTTGACAGCGGTCAGCAAGTGGCAGTGCCAGCAACGAGGTAAACCATCTTGTGTATTTCTAACTGTCTTAATTGTAATATTTTATTGTTTGTTTTATTGTATATTTTAATTCAGGATGGTAAAATGCCCCAATGGATTTGTTATTGTGTATTTTGATTGTGCATTGATTTTATAGTTGTATGCCACTTAGAAGCCTTTCTGGTATATAAGTGGCATATAAAATAAAAATTATAATTATATCAATAACCTTCTGTGTGCAAGAGTGTTAGTGCCATGGAAACAATATTAAAAGCACACATTCTGGAAGATGCTTTTGATTTCTGGCAGGGTTTTTTTAAGAGTAGCATGAATATGTTTGCTTGTTTGTTACCTTAATTTTGACTCCACTATTTTTAGGGCAGACCCTTCACAAGGCCGCTCCCCAAATTTAGCAAACTTCGTATATCAAACAGTATGACACGTGTGTGTGTGTGTGTGTGTGTAAAAGCATAAAGCCATCAATCAAATACCAACCAGAGCAAATAAGTTTTCAAAATCCACTTGATTTTGATAGGCTTCTGATGATGACTGATCTCATGTTCACCAAGATGCAGGTAGCCTTTCGAGCAACCTGGTCCTTAACTGTTCAGGGCTTAAAATATCAAAACCAGCTCTTTAATATAGTCATGCTGAGACTGATAGGAGTTGTAGTCTGTAACATCCGGAGAGTAACAGGTTGAAGAAGGCCAATATACATCGAGCCTCGAAACACACACGCAACCAATTGAATTGGAACAGAATGGGTGTCACATGATCCCATAAGCATTTTGACAGCTGCTTTCTTAAAGGTAGCCCTGCAGAGAGAGCATTACAGGAATCAAGTGTGGATGTCAGCAGAGTGTGTTCAAGCCACTTCCACCACACTTGCGGTGTTGTCTGTCTCCACCTTCTGTTTCTCTGTTTCCACAGCGCATTCCTATCATGGTTCCGCAAGTGCCTCCTCAGGTTCCTCCTCAGTTTCCTCCTCAGTTTCCTCCTCCACTTCCAGCACAACCATACCCACCTCAGATTCCAGCACAGCCATACCCACCTCAGGTAATACCAGCAAAGCATGCCTATGCTTGTGGCAAGTACTAAGTTCATTCCTTCAATGGCACAAAACCCATTCACCAAAATGAAGAGCTATGCTTCTGCATCCCTGGGTGCCTCGCTCCCCAAACAGGAAGAGCCCACTGATGGCAAGTTGCAAGACGGTTGCCTACATCGTCATCTAGAGGCCATTTTAAAGGGCGCCATATTGTCAGGCTGGATTTGGGTATTACCTGGGAGCAACAAGAGATGGTGCGCAAGGCTGCTCCTGACTACTGCTTTGTTGTGGGCTGCAGCACCAACTATAGGGGTTGGAAGGGGATTCGGCCCCCTGAATATTTGTGGGCAGGGGGCTGAGCCCTCCCCCCAAATATTGAGGTCATGTGAAGGAGCGTCTCCACTCCCATCGTTCTACCCGGACACTGAGGTCCAGCACCGAGGGCCTTCTGGCGGTTCCCTCACTGTGAGAAGCCAAATTACAGGGAACCAGGCAGAGGGCCTTCTCAGTAATGGCGCCCTCCCTGTGGAACGCCCTCCCATCAGATGTCAAATAGAACAACAACCAGACTTTTAGAAGACATCTGAAGGCAGCCCTGTTTAGGGAAGCTTTTAATGTTTGATGTATTACAGTATTTTAATATTCTTCTGGAAGCCGCCCAGAGTGGCTGAGGAAGCCCAGCCAGATGGGCGGGGTATAAATAAATTATTATTATTGTTATTATTATTATTATGACTTCACATGATGCTGGGCCACCTCAATGGGGGGGCAAGTCGGCGCCCCTAATTGTGGGTGTATTCTGCAGCATGCTCTTAATACAATAGCAGTGCATTAATGCTGCCTTAATTCTGCTTTACAGTCATACCTCGGGTTACAGCTGCTTCAGGTTGCGTTTTTTCGGATTGCGGACTGCCGAAACCCGGAAGTACCTCAACGGGTTACTTCCGGGTTTCAGTGATCGCGCATGCACAGAAGCACCGAATCGCAACCCGTGCATGCGCAGACGCCGGTTGTGAACGCTGCGGGTTGTGAACGTGCATCCCACACAGATCATGTTCGCAACCTGAGCATCCACTGTACTTTGTTCTTCAGTGCTTCTCCAATACTACTGCGTTATTGCTGTCGGGGCAGGTGGGGTGGGGTGGAGTGGAGAGTTATAGCACAACAAAAGAAAGACAAAAATAAACCAGAGCATTTGTGCTGTAAAAGTTACAGAATCTCAGCAGGCTGTTGCAGGATCTGCACTAATCGGAAATGGAGCATTGTGACTGCCCTGGAACTTTTTGTGGGCGCAAACAGTATTGAGAGCAAGATCTCGTATGAGCAGCCCAGTAGCACGAGCGTAAGTCATTATGAATGCAGGATAAATAGGATGTCTGGAGGGGATCTTAGTAACACTGTGTTTTCCTAGGCATTGTATTCAACTCATTTATACACTAAGCACATTTTCATTGTACCTTCAATTAAAAATAACAAGGTGATACAGTATACAATAAAATGCAATAAAATATGCTGCTGTAACATCCAAGAACTGACATACATATTTCTAGTATGAGGTTGGTTTGATGTTGGTTTGATGCTGTTCTGTTATTCATAGAGCCCAAATTACTAGCCCTTCCTTTAGCTGATTCCTGGGAGGCTGAACACTTCCTAAAACCCTTATAGAATTGCTATACCACCAGATGGCACCATTGTTTCAAACAACTGTAGTTCTCAATAAGAACCTTGGTTTTCTTCGCCAAAGTCTGGTGTGTACTGTACACAAGGGAAAAAAATGACATTTCATGCAGCTGACTGTTTTGTTGAGAAGATGCCTTAGCAACTGGACAGAGACATTTAATGAGGGGGATGTGAATAACAAGATAATTAAAGTCACATGTAGGTAGCCGTGTTGGTCTGCCGTAGTTGAAACAAAATTAAAAAAAATTCTTTCCAGTAGCACCTTAGGTAAGGGACCCCTGACCATTAGGTCCAGTCGTGACCGACTCTGGGGTTGCGGCGCTCATCTCGCTTTAGTGGCCGAGGGAGCCGGCATACAGCTTCCGGGTCATGTGGCCAGCATGACTAAGCTGCTTCTGGCGAACCAGAGCAGCGCATGGAAATGCCGTTTACCTTCCCGCTGGAGCAGTACCCATTTATCTACTTGTACTTTGACGTGCTTTCAAACTGCTAGGTTGGCAGGAGCAGGGACCAAGCAACGGGAGCGTTACGGGTATTTGAACCGCCCACCTTCTGATCGGCAAGCCCTAGGCTATGTGGTTTAACCCACAGAACTACCCGCGTCCCTATACCAATAACAAACTTAGTTGGTCTCTAAGGTGCTATGGAAGGAATTTTTTTTAATTAAGATAATTAAAGGCAAATATGTTAGCGCGATTTGTTTCATAGCCTTGTTTCTTTTACAGATGATCCCGATCTATGTGACCTATGATCCAGCTCAGGTAACTTCTTGATATCCATGCATGGGGGAATTCCAGCCCAGAGGGGGAAAGCAAGGATTCAGACTGGGGGGATAAGGGCTAGGTGGGAAATCCTGTGATGAGTGTTTATATCTTGAAGATAAACCAGGTGAAGGTAGCCGTCGGGTCTTGAACCCTTGGTGAGTTAGGGACTTTCCCTGCATCCAAAGACAGGCACTGGTAGACTGAGCAGATGAGACCAACACTGAGTCCATGAGGGTAGTTTCTGCCCATGTTGTAGAGCAGGCTTCCTCAAACTCAGCCCTCCAGGTGTTTTGAGACTACAATTCCCATCATCCCTGACCACTGGTCCTGCTAGCTAGGGGTCATGGGAGTTGTAGGCCAAAAACATCTGGAGGGCCAAGGCTGAGGAAGCCTGTGGTAGAGGGAAGTGAGGGGCAGATGGGGCTTGTCAGCCTGGGAAGAGAGCCCACCTAGGAGAAGGAATACTCTGAGCATTGATCAGTGTGTGTTAGTAATTAACCTGCTTTGCCACAAGGAGGAAACCTAGATAGTGTAACCCATCAGATTTTTCTCAGTTTTGTTTTAATGTGTATGCGTTATTTACTGTCGTGAGTCACTTTGAGTCCCTTTTGCTTTTTTAAAACGTGACTAATAAATTTAAATATTGATATTGAATCAAAACCAACTATCTCCCTTGTCTTCTTCTTTTCCCTTAGGGTTTGCCCTCTATTCTCAGCAATCTGCCAGGCGTGGTAAGTTCAAAATTCTGATTGCTTTCTACACCACCACTGATTTCAGACTTTCATAAGCAGCAGCTGTGGTTAACACTCAGATTGAGTAAGAAATGAGAGTTCAAGAGTGAAATATCATCTACAAGGTAGTTCCTTTGTTATCTCCTGCCATCTCTCCTATGGTTTCACCAGTCCTTCTCTTTTTTTAATTTAAAAAAAGTTCACATTTTTGAATGTCTATGCTGTTTTCCAGCCTGTTTTCCTCCTATCAGAACCAACTTGTATGACTCTCCTGGCTGGGGCTGATGGAAGTTTTAGTCTAGAACATCTGGAGGGTGTCAGTTTGTATGCACTTCCATACAAAAACTCATGCGCATTTGATCAAATGAACTGAAAAATAAATATACAATGCCAATTCTGGCTTAACCAATTTCAGAACAGACTTCTTTGTGGGGATTCAAAAGAGCACTAATCGAATAACGTTAGTTTCGATCATTGAATGAGTGCATTTGAAGCGTAATACTCAAAACCTCTCTACTCAGAAGTAAGCCACATTGAGTTCAATGTTATACAGTGGTACCTCGTAAGACGAATGCCTCGCAAGACGGAAAACTCACAAGACGAAAGGGTTTTTGGTTTTTTTAGTTGCTTTGCAAGACGATTTTCCCTATGGGCTTGCTTCGCAAGATGGAAACGTCTTGCAAGTTTGTTTCCTTTTTCTTAAAACCGTTAATACAGTTGCGACTTGACGTCGAGGAGCAACTCATAGCACGCGGTGTGGTAGCCTTTTTTGAGGTTTTTGAAGACTTTGGTGATTTTTGAAGCTTTTCCAAAACTTTTCCAAAACCATGCTTCGCAAGACGTAAAATCGCAAGACGAAAAAACTCGCGGAACGAATTAATTTCGTCTTGCGAGGCACCACTGTACCTGGAAGGAAAAATCCCTATGAACTCAGTGGGAGTTACAGTACTTTCTGAACAAACATGGATAAGATTGCATTGTGGAATGCCATTTACTTTCTCTGGGTTGCTCCCCAAATCTATGAAATTTAAGAGATGGGAAAGGAATAAAATCCACCAAGAGAGCAACACTTCTCGTCAAATTCTGCATCGGTGTTGTAAATACTTTAGCTAAAGTGAATGATCTCATAGTTTCCTCATTGCCACCACATTATGGCAGCTCCCGGATATAGAAAACCACCATTTGAAACCAAGCTTTATATGATTGAATGAGGTCCCTTCTCTTTAGGTGAACCCTGGACCTGGAGGTGTTGGTGGCCCATTTCTGGTAAGACAATTTACTGTTCATCATTATTACTAGATTGTAGCACTGTGGCGGGGGGAGGGGGGATATCTACACTGCACTGTGGAAATCGGCCCATAATGTTCACCAAATAACCGTGTGACTGACCTCTGTTACAAGAATGCAGTGTACTGATTTTTTGCCTCTCTCTAGATCCCTTATCCTGGAATTCCTGGGGCGGTAAGTTCATTGATCTTCATTGCATCATATTTCCATAGTCAGAGATCCAAGGGGAAACTCAGAGGTCTTTGAATGATTGCCTGATTATATGTGTAGGTTTAGGCCATTGCACTTAATGAAAGGTATCCTGCAATAGAAGCGGGGAGAGAAAGCCCTCCACGTTTGTGGGGGAGATCATGGGCACATTTGGAATTTTGAAAAAGTGGCTTCCGTGGAGTTGTTACCTGTCAGAACCAAAAAAACATATATGAAATATGAAGACATATTATTTCATTATTCGCAACTTTTAACATATTTATGATCTCAATAAAAATTAACAATGCACAGAGTGTTTCATTTAAAAACCAAAAGGCAAACAAAATCTTCAAAAGATTTTATAGTGCTCTGTTTTGAATTCCAAACACTCTAGAAGTTTCCAGTTCTTCAGATTTATTGGCAAACAGTTTTCCTTGCCCTCACATAAAGGTAAAGGTAAAGGTAAAGGGACCCCTGACCATTAGGTCCAGTCGTGACCGACTCTGGGGTTGCGGCGCTCATCTCGCTTTATTGGCCAAGGGAGCCGGCGTTTGTCTGCAGACAGCTTCTGGGTCATGTGGCCAGCATGACTAAGCCACTTCTGGCGAACCAGAACAGCGCACGGAAACGCAGTTTACCTTCCCGCCGGAGCGGTACCTATTTATCTACTTGCACTTTGACGTGCTTTCGAACTGCTAGGTTGGCCGGAGCAGGGACCGAACAACAGGAGCTCACCCTGTCGCAGGGATTCGAACTGCCGACCTTCTGATCAGCAAGTTCTAGGCTCTGTGGTTTAACCCACAGCACCACCTGTGTCCCTGCCCTCACATATACATGCTAAATACTTTTATTTAATTCTGCAAGATCCCAAGAGTTCAATATACCAAGATCATAGCTTGCTTTTACTCATACTTTGACTATATGAGTAGGGGAGATTTATGTTTTTTATAAGTATGAGACTTTTATATTGGGGGAATGTAAGATACCCACAAGTCAGGGGAAGTTGAACAGAGAGAAAGCTTGTTTTCTAGAGCTGGTGGTAACTAATCATACTGAGTTTTAGGGTGTATACCTTTCCTAGTCCTAGAAATAAATTTGATTCATGCTCAGACAATGCTGACCTAGATGGGCAATATAAAATTAGATAGCTTACACTGTGCTGTCATGCAGGGATGGGTAGGAAATGGATTGAGATTTACTGCAGATATCTGAGTGATTTGAAGTAGATCGGCAAGGATTCCTGATTCCCAATTATTTTACAGAATACCCCCTCCAAATATATATACTATTATAAAATGAAGAAAACATGGGCAGATGGGGCAGTAACAAAGAGTTTGGAAGAACAAAGGGTTAGAATTATAAGCTCAGAGCACAGTTCAGTTTGGCACTAAAAACAAATTCCTGGGCTCAGAATTCTTTAACTCTTAAGTCAGGGGTCACCAGTCTCTTGGGGTCCGTGGACTACATTTGAGATCTGGAGAAACTGTTGCAGACCACATGCAATGACCAGTCACCCACTGCGACCTATTCCATTGGCTACAGTGGAATACTACTTTCAAGTGTAATTTCAGAAGTGGGAGGGGTACCTTCTGAATACCAGGGAAGGTACCTGAAGGTGAATCAATGTTTTTTGCATGTGCTTCTATTGGTGGATTTCAGTTTCTGGGTGCGGGATGTGGGGACCAAAGAAACTAGATTCCTTTCTGCCTGATACCTGCCCACACCTTTCTTGGAGGATACCAAGATTTATGTCAAATGCTTTTCAACAGTCTTACTGTCTTTTTTAGGGCTTCCCACCTATTGTGGGGGTATTTTTATACTTCTATTGGTACTAATAACAACCAGCTGGCGTCTGGGGGGGCTGGTTTATGCCCCCTCAAAATTGTGCACCCAGGGCCACGGCCTCCCTGCTTCCCCCACTATGCCCCTGCCCCTACCGAAAAGGTTCAGTTTCTATGCCCCTCATCCACAGCCATAATCATCATCATCATCATCATAAATTTTATTTATATCCCGCCCTCCCCAGCCAAAGCCAGGCTCAGAGCGGCTAACAACAGTAGAACGATAAAACATTCTAAAATCATTCATTATAAAATTAATTCAAATCAGATTAATGGCAACCATTGGGCTAGAAGTTCTGTGAGGATTGCCAAAGGAGGGAGTCAGGCTGTGCCCTGGCCAAAGGCCTGGCAGAACAGCTCCGTCTTGCAGGACCTGCAGAAAGATGTCAAGTCCCGCAGGGCCCTAGTCTCTTGTGACAGAGCGTTCCACCAAATCGGGGCCACAGCCGAAAAAGCCCTGGCTCTGGTTGAGGCCAGCCTGACCTCTCTGTGGCCTGGGACCTTCAGGATGTTTTTATTTGAAGACCGTAAGTTCCTCTGTGGGGCATACCAGGAGAGGCGGTCCCGTAGGTACAAGGGTCCTAGGCCATATAGGGCTTTGAAGGTTAAAACCAGCACCTTAAACCTGATTCTGTACTCCACCAGGAGCCAGTGCAGCTGGTATAGCACTGGGTGAATGTGATCTCACGAGGACCCCGTAAGGAGTCTCGCCGCGGCATTCTGCACCCGCTGGAGTTTCTGGGTCAGTCTCAAGGGCAGCCCCACGCAGAGCGAGTTACAATAATCCAGTCTGGAGGTGACCGTCGCGTGGATAACAGTGGCTAGGTCAGGGCAAGAGAGGTAAGGAGCCAACTGCTTAGCTTGGCAGAGTTGAAAAAATGCCGCCTTTGTTATAGCTGCAATCTGTGCCTCCATGGAAAGGGAGGTGTCGAAGATTACACCCAAACTCTTAACGGACGGTGCTGGCACTAATTGTGCCCCTGCAAGAGATGGGAGTTGCCCCCCCAATCCCATATCGTCCCGACCCAGCCAAAGGACCTCTGTCTTTGAAGGATTTATCTTCAACCGGCTCCCACGTAACCATCCAGCTACAGCTTCCAAACATCTGATCAGTATGTCTGCGGCCGTCATGCTTGTCCCATGCCTTTCCCAGGTAAAACCTGTTCTTTAGCTCAAAATCAGAGCAAAAACTCAACTTGCCATTTGCTCTGAGTGCTAAAGAATGGTCCCCCCCCCCCATGGAGATAGCAACAGGATGAGAGGGAAAGCTGGGATAGCTCTGTCAGTAGAGCATGAGGCTCTTAATCTCAGGGCCATGGGTTCAAAAAAATTCTGCATTGCTGGGGGTTGTGCTAGATGACCCTTGTGGTCCCTTTCAACTCTTCAGTCCTATGATTCTATGTCCTACAGGGAGGAGGTCTAAAGAAACCACTACAGCATGTGCATGAACTCCCAAAGGCTTTCCCCAATATCTCAAAAAACATAACATAGTATTATGAACAAATCATGGTTTATGAATGAGCCTCAGGGCTGAGTACTCCCCACTCTCTTCATGGCTTGTGTTAAGCCAGAGTTCCCCATTACATCTGAACTGATAAACTTTGACTGAATGATGAGATAATAAACCATCCAGGGCTGTGGTGGTTGAAGCTTTAAAAGATCATCCAAACTGGGACAGAGTTTTACTAGGGACCAGAAACAGACACTGGGAACAAGTGCTATCTACATACTTTCTGCATAAGAACTTTTAACCAATGAAACATTACTTTCTTCGACAGAAATAGCATCCCAGCTGATATACCCTCCTGCGGTATGTACCAAATGTTTTGTTGGCAAATTCCATTTCATATCATTTATAGCTTTGCTGCTTTATGAAATGCTTAACTGCCAGCAAGCCAAAGCACATGGCTTATGTTTAATACTAGTATGCCAAAACCTGTACACAGCATCCCGTCATGTGTGCCAACTTCCACTTATTCAGGACACATTCCAGTGAATGTTTAAAAATGCTTAAGGCTACAATCCTATTCCATATACCTGAGAGCAGGTTTCATTGTATCCCCAAGTAAAAACGCATAAAATTGGGCTGGGTATCCCATGGCTTTCAGTGAGAGAAACAGAAACCAATGAGATTTTCAAGGACTTTGCTTTGGCTGAACTGGAGAGCAGATTTGTAGCGCCATGAGACAAGTGACCAGGGCCAGCCCCAAGACATTTTGGATGGCCGAGGAAAGCCACAAATAGGGACCCCCCTTCCCACCAGGGAAGAAGGGATGAGTGAAGATCTACATCAGGAACAGGAGGAGAATAATGATCTACATCTGCTGCCCCTGTGGGTCCTGCCGCCTGAGGCGGTTGCTTCACCTTGCCTCATGGGTGGGCCGGCCCTGCAAACTTGTAAATCTCTGTCACATCTCAAATCAACTATTGGTCTATCAAGTTCAATATTGTATACATTAACTAGAAATGGCTCTCTAGAATTTTCAGGCCGAGGTCTTTTTCCTAACCCTATCTGGGATCTTCTAGGTACAAAGTGTATGCTCTACTACAGAGTGAAGCAGAGTAGATTGATGGGATCTTGCAAAAAAAAAGAGAGAGTTGTTGCCTATGCTTTTTAAACCCAGTTGTAAGAGATTCGTTCAGCTTCAAATCTGATTTTGTGTTCTAAAGGTGACAGCAAGAACATGAAGGATGTGCTCCATGCCGGCTTTTACTTCCCTGCTGCAGTCTTCACACCACATTTGTATGCATCTTGAATGGCAGTTATTAACTTTAAATGGCTATAAGTAATAGTAATTTCTTTTTTTGACAACGATATACCATCTGTCATCTCTTGTGAAGATTTGTTTTCACCTAATGCAATATAAAAGCATCAGCTTCTAATCTAAGCAGTGTTCATATTTGATTGGGTAAATGTAAGCACTGACAGTTCCATTTTGAAATTGTCAAATTTTAAAAGAAAAGACCACAGTTTTAACTATGGGTTTAAAGTTCATTAACACCACTAAAGATGATAAATGTATGAATGCTGTATTGTGTAACACATAGATAGAAATGCATAAATTTTGGTTTGCTGCTCTGCCTCAGTAAGTGATTGAAATGTCTCGCTTAACAGATTTCAGTCAAATAGGTCACTTTCAGTTGTGTTTTAATTCCATTCCAATCAATATGAAAAAATAGTTATGACTAACTTAAGTCCCACGGTACTAAGATGTAACTAACAGTACCCAGCCCACAATATCTTTTTTGTTTCTTGCTGGAAAGTGGGAGGGGTATTCCCTTTAAAAATTGCATGAATAAAGAATACAAACGAGCACATCAACTTTATGTTTATGGTCTGTTTGGAGCAGAATCAACACATCACAATTTTTCACACCTCTGTATTTTGGGTTTTCCTCTTCCATGTAGATTCAGTAGCTTCTGACAAAGCCTAACCACAGTGCTGGCCTAGTTTGCACATAACAGTAAGCCGTGGTTTGCTTAATGAACCACAATTAACAATGTGTTATTCCACAAGTGACTGAACAAACCATGGCTTGTTTTCTAGCTGATCAGGACTTGGCAGCTTGATGAATGTCTGAGGCCAAAAAACAACCCCCCCAAAACCCCCTATGGTTAAGGAATGGTGTTGCATTCTCACATAGTACCAAGCCATGGTTAAAACAAATCAAGGTTCATAAGCTAAGGGCTTCATATTGTAAACAAACCATTGTTAAGCTGCTGTGCAGGATTTATATATAACACTTAATACAAAAAAATGTTTAATAAACCTTAGCATAAAGTGTGAGTTGGATGGTTTTATTATATCAACATTTCCCAAACATTTGATACTGTGTTAATTTTTCTTCTGGAATAAATGGAGGTCATAACACATTCAAAAAGATTAAATACCAGCTCCCAGGATGATAAGCATACATTCTCCTTACAATGGCAGGCTTTTGTTGGCATCAGTCTATCTCAGGAGCCAACGGAGCAGTGTGCCTTTGGGGATGAGGTCAAGCTGTTGGACGGTTGCAGCACCTACAGTAGCTGTAGAGACCAATGTGGTAAATACATGTTTTGTTGCAGCTGGGGCAGATGAAGGTATCCAGTTTTGCTGCTGGCTTTAGTAATATTGTATTCCAGCATTCTGCCCTCCCATTTGTCCAGTGTCTGGACTCCAGGATGGAAGAACAATTGCTGGGCAATGGTGTTTTGGGGCCTGTCGGAGCAAAGCAAAAACAGATAACATAGGCAGAAGGCAAGGCATGCCAGAAACTGTGGCTGCTGTGCAATTTATTCAGAAGTCAAAGAATAAAATCGCTTCGCTATGTGTTTCAGAAAATATTGGCAGCTTCACATAACAAATAGAAGGGTACATAATGAACAGCCATCCCAAACTTTAGCCAAAGGTTCATAAGAGAAAACTAGGCGCTAATATATAACCAATGAGAAGCTGGCTGGCATAAAAGGTTAGCGTTATTGATTTGTTGATAAGACTTTCTCATTACGGGGATGGTTCCAAAGTATAACGGCCTTTAGGCAGGCCATGGCATGAAGACACTCCAATAGTGGCTCGGAGGCGAAGCTATTCTTCAGAGTGGTCCAAGGTAGTTTACAATCACTTTGGTGGTGGAAAGGTTAAGCGCTTGAAAGCAGGTTTCTAAACTGCTGGTGGTTTCAAACAAGAATATTCTGTGACTGGAGTCCAGAGAGCTTCTGTTCAAACACTAAAACATCCAGTTCCTGTATATCAGAATATTCTCCAGTGGCCAAAACAGTGATAGCTCAGCCAGTACAGAAAACGAGAATAATTAAAAGAGCTCTTTGGATCCCACTTTTTTAAAAAATTGGAAATGGCAATATAAAATAAACTTACTGGAGTGTTTCATTCCAATATGAGCTAAGCCTAGAGGTGTGTTTCATTCAGCCAAGTAAATATTTTAAAACATGTTTGTGTTGCCCTCTGTTTCCTCAACCATAGGCTCCTGGGTCAAATCCTATATTACATTTTCTTTGCGATTATACCAAAGATCTCTTTTCCCTTCTCTATTGTGGTAAAAACAACAATAGTACGGTGGCTTATTTTGTATGATGAACAAGAGTTAATTCAGATTATGATTTAAAGATACACAATGCAACTCTGTGCATGGTTTACTCAGAAGCAAGTCCCTCTGGGTTCAATGGGGTTTATTTCCAGATTAAATGCATAGGAACGCAACCTAAATTGCTTCCTGATTATGGCAATAAATATTAAGTGCAGACACTAAAGGGTTATTTCCATAACATTAGATCAATGTCAGGAAGTAAAACAGATTGCAGCTGTTAATTTTTATAATTGTAAAATACCTCTCAACACTCCTGTTGATCAACAAAAACCACACCCTTATACATGTTTCTATTTACGTATAATGGATGCAGAATGTCTTCTCGACTACCTTAGAAATATTTCTTGATAAAAAGAGAGGGCACCGTGCAGCCAAAGCTAGACATTTAGAAGTCACACTGATTTTATTTCCTTGGAAAATTTAATGGGGATTTAGCTTTGCTGCCCATCCTTTGTGGCTTTAAGACAAGGATGAGGAAGCTGTGGAACACCAGATGCCGTTGGATTACAACTCCTATCAGCCCTGCCCATTGGCACATGGTGGATGGGGCAGATGGGAACTGGAGTCCAACAAATCTGAAGGGCTACAGGTTCTCCATCCATACATCAGCAATCTCATTTTTCAAAGCAGTATTAACACCTCATTCCATCCCTAAACTTCTATCAGCCATGTTTAGGCTTTAGTTTAGGCCTTGATCTCAGCCCCATCATGGCAAACCAGGTTATGATCTTCCCTCCAGTGTGCTCCTCTTTTCTCTGCTACGAGCTTGACAAAGTCAGCATGACTGGCATAGAGTTTCAGCTTTTCTCCAATGTCAACCCATTTCACTTTCCCAGCATCGTCTCCTGCTTCCAAGTGTAAGTTCTCCATTACTTCACCTGTTATGCAAAGAGAGATTCTGGCATTAGTTTGAATCCTTTTAACCTACAGCACAACCCATTAAATCCTCCACCAGGACTTCTATCCCATGACAACAAAAGCACGTAAGTAAGCAGTTCTTTCCTCCAAACACTGTTGTGACAGAAGTTCTCATACCTTCGGTAGATTTGACAGCCCTCCTTGTCCCAAGGAATCAGGCTTGAACACAAAGGAAGGGTGATAGCTCAGTGGCAGAGTGCATATTTTGCATGCAGGAGGTCCCAGGTTCCATCACTAACATGTTCAGTCCCCTATCTGAATAGCCACTGCAATACTGAGCTAGATGAACCAATGGACTGGTTTGGTATGCAGAAACATAGGAGGCTGCTTGAAACTTAAAGCAACAAATGACAAGAAAATGACATTTTTTGTGCAGTGATACCCATGTGCCACTACAAGCAACACTCCTGAGTCAAGAAACTTTTTTTGGTTTTTAGTGTTGAACTTTTAAAAAAAAAATCTAGCATAACAATGCACAAGTAAGTGTGCCAACAATTAGGTATTCAAGTATTACTTAAATTTCTTTTTCTGTCCTCCTCCAATTTCCTGCTGTCAAGAATGTGCAAAAAAAAAAATGGTTAGCAACTGGAAAAATAATTATCATCCTTTCCATCTTCTAACAGAGATGAGGAACTTGTGGTCCTCCAGTTGTTGGACTACAATTCCCATCATCCCTGTCCACTGGCCATGCTGGCTCATGCTGAAAATTGTAGTGCAGAACGTCTGAAGGCCCCTGGTTCCCCACCCTTGTTCCAACAACATGACAACAGGTGTGACCACAAAACAAAGAAGGCAGCACCCCTTACTCACCAGTTTCATCATGGTAGTTTACGGCTTCTGTCTCCATCCAAGCATTGTCTGTGTTACGAGGATCATCCACATACCCTTTGTATACCTGGAATACAAGATGTAGGCTGACAACCGTCCTGTTTACCATTTGGGCTCTTGCCCATTTAAAGAAGTCTTAGGCAGATAATCACGTGAGTTTGTCTACTAAATAAATCTGCAAAAATGTGCATCTGAGATGGGAAATTTAAAAATATATATATTTGTTTTTGAATGATGCATGCTTAAGTCACACCAGGTATCGTCTTGGAACAAGGGAAATGCCATTTAATGTATGCTTGCCACTGGCAGTTTTTAAAAGCACTTTTCTTTAAAATGTACTAAAAACGGGGTGGAGAGAATGTTGTACAGATTATTTTAATCAGTCCATTAAAGGTTGTTATACTTCCTGCTACCAAAAGCTGCTTAATAAGAAGCTGCTACTCTTTGAAATGTAATTGAAAAGAGTTCCATCGACCTTCACATGTAATATTTAATGGGCTTGCAAAATTATAACAGGAGCAGAGAGGGCACTCACCACAAAGTAATCTTGACTGAACAGCCTGTTCAGTTGTTTCTCCATCTCTTCCTTCTCAGCCTCAGTTTTCTGTAAGGAGTTCAAGGCCTCCTCACTAAATTCTCTCTTTAGTGCAGCCGACAATTTTTCCCCTGGGTCTACCATGCCCTAAAATAAAAGGTTGTCACAAGTTACAACTTCCTTCAGAGCCTGGATGCTTTCCCTTTGAGGCTAATCCCACCTTTGTAGGGGAGGGCGATTATCATTATAAAAACCAAATCAAGGGGTGAGGCAGGGATGATATAAAATATGATAGCGGCAGATGATAGTTTAAAAAATGAAATACAATGGAGATATCTGATGACAGATCTCTCAACATGTCAGTTATGCCCTTAAGGTAAAGGTAAAGGGACCCATGACCATTAGGTCCAGTAGTGACTGACTCTGGTACTTTCATGGTACTTTCATTGTATCTTTGGTGGCATCCATGCGCTGTTCACCAAAGTGGGGACCTCTGGTCCAAGAGGTAAAGGTAAAGGGACCCCTGACCATTAGGTCCAGTTATGGCGCTCATCTCGCTTTCTTTGCCAAGGGAGCCGGCGTACAGCTTCCAGGTCACGTGGCCAGCATGACTAAGCCGCTTCTGGCGAACCAGAGCAGCGCACAGAAACGCCGTTTACCTTCCTGCCAGACGTGCTTTCGAACTGCTAGGTTGGCAGGGGCAGGGACCGAGCAACGGGGGCTCACCCCGTCACGGGGATTCAAAGTGCTAACCTTCTGATCGGCAAGTCCTAGGCTCTGTGTTTAACCCACAGCGCCACTCTCGTCCCAGTTATGCCCTTACTCACGGCCTAATATGCTGTGTAACAATGAATAGCCAGCTGCTGAGTGTTGTTAGTTTTTCTGGGTGTAGCTCAGGGGTGAGGAACCTCAGGCGGGTGGTGGGGGGTAATGCAGCTGTTCAGACCTCTCTATCTGGCACTCAGAACTTTCCCCAGACTGCCACCACTCTCTGCAAGCCACAGCCCTCACTGGCTCTGCTTTAAATCCATGTTTTTTGCCTGGCTGGAATGTGCCCTTGAACTGTGACAGTACCTCTTGCTCATCTGGATGAAGGAATCATAGAGTTGGAAGGAATTCAAGGGTCATTTAGTCCAACCCCCTGCAATGCAGGAATCAATACAGAGGGGTTCAGTGGTACCTTGGGTTAAGAACTTAATTCGTTCTGGAGGTCCGTTCTTAACCTGAGGTACCACTTTAGCTAATGGGGCCTCCTGCTGCTGTCGTGCCGCCAGAGCATGATTTCTGTTCTCATCCTAAAGCAAAGTTCTTAACCCGAGGTACTATTTCTGGGTTAGCGGAGTCTGTAACCTGAAGCGTATGTAACCCGAGGTACCACTGTATGTACAGGAGCTAGTGTGCGGCCCTCAGAAGGAAATGTGGCCCTCGGGATGAAAAAGGTTCCCCTCTCCTAGTGAAGATTTTAGTAATCCTTCAAATGCTTAGCAGGAAAGGGAGCTGTGACACACACACTGAGTCTTTGGGAGGCCAGCACATTTTTGAAAGCCAATTCTGTCAATTCTCTCTTCTCACCCCTGGAATGGCCCATTCCCCGCAGTCCTTCCTTTTGATTGCAATGAACTGCAAGATACTTTTGCCAGACGCTGGGTGAGCTACTTTATTGCCACTGCCGTCTCTCTTCCACCTGCAAAGAGTAACAGGGGAAAAAAGATTAATCTGTGGTTCAGCTGAAGACATGCAGGAAAATGCCACTTCAGATGTAACATCAAACCATAGCTATGAGCCCAATGCCTGCATACTTCCCACTCATACCACATGCTCAGATTCTCTTGCTTGCAATTTAGCTGCAAGACATGATTTGCTGCTATTTCTGAACCATGTTTCGCTGGATTTTGTTGCAGTTGCAAATGTAAGGCTTGCTGCTGAACTGGAAGTGAGGGAGGTAAACAGAGGAAATGAAGAGAAGAAGGAGAGAGTGTGTGAGCTCTGGGCTCATTCATACAGTTCCACGGTTTGGTATTCTGTCTGGACCCACCCAGAGCATTGGAACTGAAATGAATGTGGAAACCTTGGGTCCGCTCAGCAAGGATGCATTGTGGGAGCTCAGGCAACATAGCAATTGCTTCCATATAGTTTTTAAAGTCATCTTAAAGTAGAATTAGAAGCATATCATGATCAGCATTTTTAATATTTCACATATTGACTTGAACGTAAAATGTTCCCATTTGACATCATCTGGAATGATGTTACTTACTTAGTTACAAGGGGATCTGCAGCATGATTTGGTCCCCAACGCCCCAAGAGACCTCGGCCCACTACTCCTGTCCTGCCTACAGGATTCCTGAAAAATAACAGAGCACAAATGAATGCCTGGATACGATCCAAAGGCGCACACAACTGAAGTTCCACATGGCCAAAGAAGATTGCAGCTCATCTTTCTTGAACAGCAATGCCCCCTCTTAACTAAATGCTACTTAGCACACTACTTTTGAAACATGGAAGCCTTTCAAATGCAGTCTGTGATACAGAATTGGGAGCGGGGTGGACCTGTTGTTCAAAGACCAGAACCCTACTGGGCATGTCTAGCCTCTTTGGTTCACCCAAAATAGGTCTTTGAAGCATATGTATTTTAAAAAATATTTAACGAAACAGTGTTATGACAGTGTTATAGCAGGGGTTCCCAAACTGTGGTCTGTAGACCACCAGTGTTCTGTGAGCTTCATTCAGGTGGTCTGCAACATGTCTAAGTATTCATATTGATTTTTAATTGCATTTTAATCGTTCATCTTATTTTTCATATTTTTTGTTGTATTACAATGTAAGGGATGAAAATAGTATTATTATAAAACACAATGTAAGAAATAAAAGCAATTAAATACAGCATCTAGCACACTGCATTGCAATTGCTACAATAGGCGGGGGGATTGAGAACAAATGGCTTACAGGGTATTCAAGATTTTGTTAGAGATGTTTTTCTTATATTCTCATTTTTTTAGAATGCATTTTAATAGCATGTAATAGTTTCAGTGTTTTCTTTTTAAATGCTAAAGTCCTCAATATAATTTTCTGAGGAATAAGAATGTATAATCTGGTTTACATGCCTAATGCACTATCAAGGAGTTTACATTAAATACACATTTAAGAAAAACATCATCAAGAACGACTCATGGAGCTATGAAACAGCATGAGATAAACCTTTTCTTCCTGCTTCATTCTTTACACTTGGGCCACAAAACAACCATTACTTTGCCTTTCACATAATAGCAATACTGGTTGAAGTTATGCTCTTTTAATTGTCTTTTAAACCCATGGTCCTAATGGCAATCAAGGCTTCAGAAAACAGCTTCAGAAGAGTTTTAGCTTGGAAACTTGCAAATATGTATTGGACACACATTTTAGCAGACAGGCAACCAGGATTCTGAACCAGTGAATCAGTGCTGACCTCTTAGGTTATTTCCACTAAGGTATGTGATCAGATCAAGACCTTCACTCACAGACTTTTGATGCATGCACAAGCACCAACACAGAATGTCAAATACCTGGGCCTCCCATCTTCCACGTGATAGAAACCATTCTGGCTCCTCCTCTCCACTTGCCCATCCTTCTCGTTGAACTTTGGAGAAAAGTTTTTCACCCTTTTCAAGAAAATAATAACACTGAAATAAACAATTTAAAAACCCTTCAATGTGCATTACCAGCATTACTAACACCCCAGTTTCTATGGAACTTATTTCCAACGTTAGCTGTATTCGGGATCACAACTTGGCAGCCCAATCCTATCTGGTAAGATGTCCTTTACTGTAATCCTTTTGCCCTATCCTCAAACTGTCTATCAGTTTCTTCAGTCTGTTTTCGCATTGCTGTGTGTGCTCTTTGGCTTGCTCACTCCATTTGTGCTCCTCTGTGATATCCATTTACCTTCATGTGCTGCGTATGTGCTTGGCATGAGTTTGTGTGACAACTGTTAGAAAAAGTTTGTGGTGTGCAGGTAGGTAGGGAATTGGACTTGTGTTGGGGTGCTCTTTTTGGGATGGCTGCAGGGCACATGCCATCTTTGTCTAGCCAGGACCTACCTGATGCAATGATGCAGGGCAGATTTTCATTTTTTATTGCTTGACAGATGCCAGTTACAGACAACTTAGTTAAAAGGCTGCATTTAAAGCTTAGCATGGACAGCCTAGAGTTTCGTGTAGGTGGGAGAAGCATTCTGCATTCAAGCCTGTGCACATCTGACCTATCTTTTTTAGACAAAAGCTGTCTCCTTCTTTAGCCCTTACATAAAGAAGTTTGCAGCCCAAGGCCAGTGCTTGTTTGGCAACCATTTGGCAGCTGCTTGATTGCTAACCATCTCTTGATTTTCTCACACAGTCAGAGAGCAAATGGGAAAACTTCTGGTTATTTTATGGTTCAAAAAAATAAGGTCATAATGACCTTAATTTTGCACTAAACAAACAATGCTAATATTTGGCTTTTTTCAAATCATGCTTAGTTTTAGCATTGATGCTACTAAAATCTGGGGACACTAGGTAGCTATGCTATATGAAAATGGCAAAGTTCTTCCCTGTGACACAGCCAAGTTACGTTGCTAGGCCCAGTTGTCACCCTGGGCTGCAAATAAGCCTTCAGTACATGCAGGACAATGCATGATAAACACCTCCATCATGTAAACCAAGAGAGGACTAGATTTATAACTTCTAGTAAAGTAAGACCTTCATGCTTCGATTTGTCACTTGGTGGTCTGGAATTAAGCTAGTAAATCTCCTTAAGGTTTTTAAACTGCTTTGAGGGTCCCTGCCACTCTCACCAAAGGTGTCATGGACTTTGAAGACGCTGGAACTCAGGACGAAAGGGAGAAACGTCCTAAGAGGAAGGCACGTTTGGCAAACTCTCACCATGATCAACTCCCACCCGGAAACCTATGTCCCCACTGTGGAAGGAGGTTTGGATCCAGAATTGGCCTCCACAGTCACTTACGGACTCACTGTTAAGACCGTGTTCATGGAAGACAATCTTACTCGGCTATGCGTGATCGCCAAAGAAAGAAGAAGATGACTCCCTGCCACTGTCAGAAAGCATGTATGCATTAGCAAACCTTACGTAAAATATTTGCTGCCCTTGATATAACTACAGTTAGAAGTGCAATGAACAGAGCTGGATTTTTACGTGTCAACAAGATCCCAAAATTTACCCTGTAAGTGCCAAAATCTGTACAGGAAGCTATTTCCACAATGGTGAGCTTAAGCACTGCATATTCTAACTGCAGCATTTGTGGCTCCCTTAGTCCAAAATTTAAGTCCCATTTAAGTCTTGGGATATAAATAACCTGAACTGGAACTGTATTGTTGCTTGTTAGCTGCCCTGAGCCCGGCCTTGGCTGGGGAGGGCGGGGTATAAATAAAAAATTATTATCATTATTATTATTATTATTATTATTATTATTATTATTCAGCAGCCTCCCTGGAGAACTTAATAACTGAACACAACTCCTCTTTCAACAGTTTCTCTCTTATAACTAAGAACGAAGGCAATATATGGTCACATTCATAAATATTATGCCCACCATTTATTTTTAGTCAAGCAAAAGCTAGGTCATTCTCAAAAACAAGCCCTCCCCTTTTACTGCACCCCATTAGTCAACCAACAGTGCTCACCCAATTTCTGGATCTGCCCATTTAGGTCCTGCCAAAACAGATTGTGCTGTATATTCCACAGGGCTGTAATCCTCCCATTCAGTTGACCAATCCACCTTATCATTGGGAACTCTGCTGCGCTCAATGTTTGATCCTGGATATGGGGAGGTCCTTGCTTTGTTATGCAAATTTTCTCTTGCATCTTTACAATTCGACATTTTAGCAGCCTTGCTGTGAAACCAACTTTCTGAAGATGGACTGTAGAAAAATAGAAGGAGTTGCACACAAAGGGGAAAATAAACTTGATGTAATGCTGTGCGTTGCAGGATTGGGACATTTCATACATAGTAAATTGCATACAAACACCATCAATATCACAGCCATCCAGGAAAACTCCACATCTTGTGTGATTTAAGTGCTAAATAACCAACTGTTAAAAATGTGGGCAAGTGGGGAAAGTTCATCCTCCCCCAGGAGGATGGCCCAGTCTGTTGAAAATGAGATTCTTAATCTCAGGGTCATAGGCTCAAGGCCCAAATTGGGCAAAAGATTCCTGCATTGCAAGGGGGTTGGACTAGATGACCTTCGGTCCCTTTCAACTCTGCAATTCTATAATTCTATGAAGGTGGAAATTTCCTTACACAAGCTGTTGACCTATCAACCAAACTGTAGTTTCATCACATTGTAAAAATAAAATATCTAGTATGGTGCTCATGCGTATTATAGGGGTGGCCTGGTGAACTTTTCTAATGCTCGTTGGTTCAAAGTGGGGGGAAGGTAGATGGGGACCCTTTAGTAAATGACTTAAATCATTTGCAAAAAAAAAAAAAAAACCCAAAGACTATAAGCAAGTACCCCCACCCGATATTCCTTAATAAATTATCAGGGTTTTTTTAAAAAAAGAAAATGAAGAACTAAAGTACATTTCCAGTTGTTTTAGTTAGGGAGATACATTTTTTTAAGGCAATATTGCTTCCTCTGCTACTGAGCCATGAGTGAGTGCTGACAGGATTGCAGCCAAAGCACAGTCACTGAGAAATAAGGAGGTGGTATAAAAGCAGAGACATCACCTTGCCAACAAAGGTCCGTATAGTTAAAGCTATGGTTTTCCCAGTAGTGATGTATGGAAGTGAGAGCTGGACCATAAAGAAGGCTGATAGCCGAAGAATTGATGCTTTTGAATTATGGTGCTGGAGGAGACTCTTGAGAGTCCCATGGACTGCAAGAAGATCAAACCGATCCATTCTGAAGGAAATCAGCCCTGAGTGCTCACTGGAAGGACAGATCATGAAGCTGAGGCTCCAATACTTTGGCCACCTCATGGGAAGAGAAGACTCCCTGGAAAAGACCCTGATGTTGGGAAAGATGGAGAGCACAAGGAGAAGGGGACAACAGAGATGGTTCTCGAAGTTGCCAGCATGAGTTTGACCAAACTGCGGGAGGCAGTGGAAGACAGGAGTGCCTGGTGTGCTCTGGTCCATTGGGTCATGAAGAGTCGGACACGACTAAACAACAATAAATGTGCATAAAGGTTAAAATGCACACCTAAGGGAAAACTCACCATCACCATTAATGAACACTGAGTATGATCAGTAGCCATGGAACATTGAATATTAGTTGGAAAAGAAAGTCAGCAAAGGACAATTAGGGGACAGGGAGAGAGAGAATGGAGCATCTTGGAGGAAGGTGTCGTGGCTGGAAACCTGAATAAGAGCACTGCTTTTATGAGGCAAGAATACACTGCAACATTTTGTTGCAGGCTCCATTTCCGCTCTGCAGTTGTTCCACCAAGAAGCAAACTTGCTCCCACCTTTCAACATTCTAGCCAAGGAGCTTAAAGGCGGTAGCTAGAATAACTCAGAAACCCTTATGCTTACATTTAAAATGTATAAAATTTAAATGCATTTTATTAATTTTCCATATCAATACAATTAAGTTGGCTGTGAAAACTATTAGGCTACCAGAATTATCATTCTGACATTATTCCCCACACATTTAGGAGCCCTTGCTCACTGATCTATGTAGAAAACAGGACTCTAATATTAGACCTTGGGACAAATACCTGTAGGCTAGATTCCTGGCTGCTTGAAATAGTGGGTAGAAGTAAGTGCAGGAAGAAGACTTAGCAGCAACAGCAGTTAAAGTCACAGTGAGAGAAACCACGGTAACCGTCCGGGCCAGGAAACCCCTTGCCATCCCATGCAGTAAGCTCAAAGAGAAATGCCCACCAGTTGTGAAATGCCCACCTGGAAAGTCAGGAAACCAAATAGAAAACATCTTAGCATAGTATGTGTTGACCCTTCTCCATTCCCCGCAAGACAAACTGACAAGTCACTTCACAATTTATACTTTCTACAAATTACGGGGCGGAAGGCAGGTATTGTTGCGAATATTACATAAGACTTGCTACCTTTATTTTATGTAAGCTGCCATTCACTGTTAACAATTAAAGTAAACTTGCTCCCAAGATTCAGCTTGTGCAGCCGAAGATTAAACACATTTTTGCATTTTAATCTCCACAAGTATCGGTTGTTGCATTATTTATCTAGGACAAGCCATTTTGCAACATACACCAACGCATAAAATGAAATAAGACTGCACTGCACTGCAGTGCGATCCTATTCTTATTTACCCAGGATTAAGTCCCACTGAGTTCAATGGGAGTTGCTTCCAAGACTGCATCTTGGTTTTTGTTGAATTTAAGTAAACCATTCGGATTAGAAAGCAGTGATTTAAATCCTTAACATTAGTCAACATTTTTCATTTACATATCACAGGGTTGGACTGTTGTCGTCCCCCCCCCAAAAAAAAAATGTGTTGCAGTTTTTAACGTAACTGTTAAATTGTGTTGATTTACAACTAGGCAGAACACTTGCAATTATATTAGTAGGAGTACTTTATAGCTATGGGCATTGAATTATATTGTGACATTTTCATACTAGGTACCAGGGCACGAAACCTTGTGCTTTTAACAGTTGAAGAGGAGAGGACATTCTAGCAAGTTTAGCTTTTCTTGTGCCTGCATTAAAGCTGTATCTGGCAACATTATACATCTGGCATCATAACCAGCAGGGTGCAGGTGGCAATATTCTTCTACACATCTATTGAGGGTTCAGAAACATTTTAAGGTAAAGGTAAAGGTACCCCTGCCCGTACAGGCCAGTCTTGACAGACTCTAGGGTTGTGTGCCCATCTCACTCAAGAGGCCGGGGGCCAGCGCTGTCTGGAGACACTTCCGGGTCACGTTGCCAGCGTGACATCACTGCTCTGGCACGCCAGAGCCGCACACGGAAACGCCGTTTACCTTCCCGCTAATAAGCGGTCCCTATTTATCTACTTGCACCCGGGAGTGCTTTTGAACTGCTAGGTTGGCAGGCGCTGGGACCGAACAACGGGAGCGCACCCCGCTGCGGGGATTCGAACCGCCGACCTTTCAATCGGCAAGCCCTAGGCGCTGAGGCTTTTACCCACAGCGCCACCCGCGTCCCTTAGAAACATTTTATTACAGGATAAAACCTATAAACAAACAAGGCTGCTTTACTATACTCAGACAGGCATACTTTGACTAGACAGTCAATAACTATTTGCATTTTTTAAAAGGATGTCTTATGTTTTTGCATTGCAAAACACCCTGATATTCATAACATTGTAGTATTCGAAGGATCCCAACTCCCCATGGTCATTTAATTCAGCCCCTGCAATGCTGAAATCACAGCCAAAGAATCCCTGGTAGATTATGGTGGTCATCCAATCTCTTGTTTAAAAAAGCTCAATGGAGTTTTCCTAACACAGAACAGAAAGAAAGTTGCTAATATGGCAGGGATTCAGACTTGTTTCACAGAACAGAAAGAAAGTTGCTGTGGGAGGGGGGGGGAAAGGGACAAACACTTTGTTATCGGGGTTCACATATCCTGTTAAAAGGGAAAATTATTTCATGTGAGAAGCCTGTCAGGAAATGCTGTTCCTAAAATGCACACAAACAAAGTATGTGATTTAAATCCCATTGAGGGGGGAATGCTTTGATATTTACCTGTGGAAAGAATTTGGCATGTTAAGATTTGGAACCTGGAAAGCTCTTCACTTTTGATGGGCTAGTTGTTGTTTTTAACCCTTTTGTCTTACGTAGCCCCTGGAGCAAAGACACATTAAGGGTGATTTCCCTCAATGGTTCTAAGTTTTTACATAAGGAAATTTCTCTCCACCCTATAGTTCCCCCTCCTTCCTCTACAGTTCCCCCTCCTTCCTCTCTCTCTTTCTCTTTTTTTTGACTGATCTAGCCTCTGTGTATGTGCAGAGTTTATGTCTCAGCAAATCTTTTATACTATTGAAATGTTGCATCCTTTGGCTAAATTACCATTTGAATAAGGGAAGGGAAGGGTATGGAGTAGATTTTAAAAATAGGGTTAGATTTTTTTTTTAACAAAAAAGAGAAACTGAGTAATTCAAGTATTCAATCAAGTTAGCAATTGTAGCCCAAGCAAAAAGGAATGCTTCCTTTATGTACAGGAAAGGGCTACCATCCCTCTGGTCATTCGCGGAACACTGCCACGCCCTTATATATGGGGGGAAATGGCCAGAGTCAGAATTCATAGGATTTTTATTTTATTTTTAAACATTCTCAGTCGTTTCAACCTTACCATTTGCAGACAAAAAAAATTCTGCCCTTCTTTGAATTAACTTTGAAGTCTGATTATTTTTTTTTAATAGTAGACAAATGATAAACACTGTAATCACTCAAATGTTTGATATTACCCGTTGTGCTTCAAAACATCACGGCTTCACCTCTCACCTTTTAAAACTAAAGAGCAAAGCTAGGCTGAATTTCAACTCCATCACCACACCAGAATTTAAGAATTACCCTCAAATGCCTGCAGACACATGTTCCTTCCACACAGCCACAAATTGGGAGAGTTGAAAGAGACCCTGGGGTCATCTAGTCCAACCCTCCAAAATATAGGGTTCACAGCAAGATTTCACAGCAAGATTTGTACTATCAAAGAGACATACACATTTAAGTACAGATTTACAACTGGGAAAGGAAACATCTATGCTCCTATCATGTACTAAGGAAGAGGAAAATAAAAGTACCCAGCTTTATACAGAACCCTTTTAGCACATATTGAAGCTAGTTTGAGTGAGTTTACTTCCTTAGACTAAGAGTGCAATCTTAAAGGAAGAACAGTTTTCCTAAGATAAGATAGGAAGAGAATCTGAGAGAGAATATCTTATAAGCATAGGGTTATTTCAGTTGATATAACCACTCAAATAATAAAACCAGTCCTGGATTTGATTTAAAAGGGATACATAAGTTAATAATGTTTCCGAACTTGCATAGGAATAGTACGCCTAATTAAGATTTTTAAATAACAATACCTAGGAAAGTGAGATGTCGGGTACTTTTAGTAAAGAATGTGCCCCCCCCCCCTTTTTGAAGGAAGCTTATTCGGGAGTAAATTCACTCGGCACGGAAGTAAGGAGGGGGGGACCTGAAAGAGACTGAAACAAGTGGGGGAGGCATTTTCCAATAAGAAGCCAGGAAACCCTGGCTGATCTTAGAGACTGATATCAGGACTGGACTCTATAGATAGACAATTGTTGTCTATCAAAGCTTCTACCTTTTTAACAATTTTCTTAGAAGGAACACCTATTTTCATAGGCATGTGCTTAATGAAATACAGACACTGCATTTTAGCTTGAGAGAGCAGTTGTGCTCAACTACGCTTTTGCAGCAGAAACATTAGGTTAACTTCACATTCCAAAATAGACTGTAGACTCACAATCTCAAAAGTTGCGGCAAAGCAAGAGGTGGGGTAAAGATTTGCACCCTTCATTCTCATGTTGTATTTTTTAGGACTGATAAGGTCCAGCATGGCTTCCTTAGATTTAAAATTTTGAAGCAAGCTTGCAGTTTAAACTATGCACACTTAAGAAAGGTAGGAGCGATAGAGAGGAGGGCAGAGAATTCAGTTGCCAGGAGACTTCCACCCCCTTCCCACCAGTGCACTGGATTTTCCTTTTCCTTATACTCACGTGTCTTCTATGATGATCCCGGGATCGATGAATAAGCCGGCTGGATCCCTCTTTGCTCCCCGGCTGAACTCCTGGGGCTTTCGATTACTGCCCGGAAGATGGCCGGGGGTCCAAAGGATCTTCCCAGGCAAAATGGCCCGGTGCCAGCTGAAGATTTCGGGGGGCCCCGGTCAGCAACGCGGGAGAACCGCCAGCCCCACGTTGGGCTGCCAACTGTTACGGCTAAATCTGGGTGCGGGGCTACCCTGCCACCCAGCTCGTCGGACTAAGTAAGTCCGCGGGTCCCTGCGGAAGAAAATGAGCTCAGCCGGACAGGAGCAAACTGCAGAAGATCCAAGTTTATTGTGCAACAGGTTCAAGACCAGATTGAACAGCGAGAAAGGGGTGACATGAACTTTTGAAACTCCCTCCATGTCCCAGAATACAGTGCAAAATACATCCCAGTTACATCATGAATACATTAAGGAAAGGTTGGGTTACACAGATTACATCATGAATACATTAAGGAGAGGTTGGGTTACACCGGATTAACATATGGAGGAGGGAGGGGGGAATATGCAGAGCTGGAGATATGCGCAGATAAGCGCTTCCTGAGTGCTGGTGATGGGAAGACAATGGTCCATGTTTGCATAGTCTGTCACCTGGCATTGCCCGGAGGAAAGGCTTGGCAGAGTGATTTGACAGGATTAGGGTCTTGCTTGAGGGATTATGGAGGACAGGGGAGGTGTGTGGAGTCCTAGAGAAATTGAGCAAATTGGCACGTTGATTTTCTATGGATTTTATAGATTTTAGTCCCTTTTGACATTGACAATTGGGAATAAATGGATATATTGTAACGAAGAAGAAGGTGAAGAAGACATGCCCCCCCTTCTGTAACAAAGCTTACAAATTAAAAATAAGAACAGCTAAAAACATAGGGATTATTATTATTAGTTGTTATAGAAACAGTTATATAAACAAATATCCATTGAAGTAACTATTGTCATATATTTATTTACGCCCCACCTTTTTCCTTGACTGAAGGCAGCTTACAAAAAAAAAAGAACAGTTAAAAACATAGGACAATTATTATTATTAGGTGTTATAGAAACAGTTCTATAAACAAAATATCCATTGAAGTAATCATTGTTATATATTTATTTACGCCCCACCTTTTTCCTTGACTGAAGGCAGCTTACCAAAAAAAAAAGTTAAAAACATAGGGATCATTATTATTATTGGGTGCTATAGAAACAGTTCTATAAACAGAATAAATATGCATTGAAGTAACAGCCGAGGCATAAATATGTTTTGTTGTTTTACCGTTTTTGCTCTGAGGTGTTCTATTCTGATTTTTGTTTTACTATGAAGCGGTGAATATAAATCTTAGGGAAATATGAAATTCCCCCTCAGCCGTTAAAGCTCACGGGGCTGCCTCCTGTCAGGCGAGCCTACCTCGCGGGGTCGTCGTGGATTAAACCGAGGGCTTTGCGCTTTGCGCTTCAGAGGAAAGGGAGAGATAGATCAATGTAGGTTTAGATAAGAGCCGTGTAACATTTGTTCCACGTATATACAGATCGCATCTCATTTATTTTTGATATTCGCGTTATCTATATAGGAAAAAAAGCGCGGGAACTGGCGAGGGGGGGAGCGGACCGGCCTCCCGGCCTCCCCTCCCCTCTCGCTCTCTCCTCAGCACTCACCCCCCGCAAAGCTTCCTCTCTTCAGCCCTTTTTTTCCGCCCAAGCCGCCTTTGCCCCCCGTCAGTCAAATCTCTGCTCCGTGATTGGCTGCGACGGGGACAAAAAAGAAAAACCGGCGCCGCCCTTACCCAATGGGCCACGTCCTTGTGTCCTTCATCCCGCCTCCCTCCACCCTCCAGGGAAATGAAGCCGGGGGATTAGCGACGTCTCGTTCGCCCCGCCTACTCTGGATGGTCGATAGGGCAGCGCGGGGGGCGATGTGTTGACGTCGCCTGTCACCTTTCCTCGAAAAACAAAAACAAAAAAAGGTTTACGTCACACGTCGCCCGTATTCTGATTGGGTTTCAGATGAAGGAGAGGTGTCAGGGCCTTGCGAGGAGTCAGGCCTTTCCAACTGCCCTCTCGCCTTTCCACACATAGAGGTAGAAGAAGGGTAGACTCACACGCCATGCAAGAGGTTGCGAATAAGCAATAAATTAATAGGGAACCGCGTAGGTCGGAACCCATGGAAGTTTCCCTAGATTGCAGGGGGTTGGACTAGATATTCCTGTGGATCCCTTCCCGCTCTACAAAGCTACCCGAGAGCGGTTTGCCAAAAATTCATGTTTTGCGCCGCTCTACATTTTTTCCTACCTCTATGGTCCCTGTGACGAACGCGGCAAATCCTCTTAAAGGGATATCGCCCCAATTCCAGTTCACAGAGAACTGACACCACAGACATAGGCAGCGGTAGAGTTACAAGCAAAGGTGTCCGTGCTGACCAATGAGCAACATTAGAATCATAGCATTGTTGGAAGGGTACCCAGGGTCATCTAGTTCAACCCCCTGCAATGCAGGAATTATATAAAATGCATTCAAAAACCTTGCCCACAATTACCATAAAAACAGCACGGCACCAGCCCTTTCCTTAAAACCAGTTCTCAAAAGCCTGTTGGAACAAGAAAGTCTAAGAAGGGAGTTCCAAATTAGGAGCAGCCACCAAGAAGGCCCTGTCCTACATCTCTACCAAGCATGCCTGGGAGGGTGGTGCTGGGACCAGAGAAGGGATAGGAGCGTAGTAAAATGACTGGGGTTAGGGTGCTTTAACACTTGGTTGTTCCCCGCACTCATTCCTGCATTTCAAGGGGTTGGACTAGATGACCCTCAGGATTCCTTCCAACTCTATGATTCTATCATGCTAGAATCGAGAATTTTACTTAAGGCTATTGAAAGAAGGTGAGGACAGGTGACCTCACCTAGGCCCAAAGTCACCCCCCACCAAAGCAGGCTCAAAGCTTCTCAAAGCTTTTCAAAATCATTTTCTCAGCAGCTAAGCTTCAGAAACATTCTGCTCTGCTGTAACAAAGGTAGAGAACAGTTCATTGTTTCTCAGGCCTTTCTCATGCCTTCTGGCCTTGCTAAAGAACCACATTGCAACTTGCTTTCTGTCCGGGAACCATGCCAGAACAAGAGATTGAAACATATCTGAACACTCTGAAACCCCTTTCCTGGGAAGGGCGCCAAGAGTCCAATAGTCCCAAGACAGCTTTCTGTTCATGCTCAGAGGAACTCATGGGCAGGACTCCTGAGGGAGGAGAAAGGAGGAGGGATCTGGTCCGGGGTATATATGCTTGTGCACATGACTGAACTTCGTGCATGCTTTTGTGACTTATCACACTTGCTCCTTCTACCAGTTCATGGATGGTAGAAATAAAAGCCTTTTCTCCGAAACTATTCCTTGAGTGTCTGTTGACTCCCACTTCCCTTTCCCAGGCGCAATATTTTTCCCACCCGAGGGCAAAGCCTCATAAGGCTACACTGTCATTTTAAACCTGCTTCTAATCAACTGGCTATTTGTTCTGCTAAGCCAGTAAAACATTTCCAGATGCTTTCTAGGATCTTTTCCTACCCTTGAGGGAAATTATCCTAACCACCCAGCTCATCCCTTAGCCAAGACCTACCCAAACCCTCTCCAAACCCTCTTTCTGACAGCTGATCTGTCAGGTTCTGTCTTTTGACTCTCCACTCCCTCCTGATCCGTCAACCCTGATGGGATGCACCATCTCCAGGGGGGGGGGTAACCCTAGCTCTCTGTCACTGGGCCTGCAGAGAGCATTTTAAACAGCTTGATTCTGTCTCCCAACCCTCATTTTTAAAGGTCCTTTCTCAAATTGAGTTCCTCCACTGTGCAACAGGCTACTCCCAAAACTACAGCAGGTCAGAGAGCTTTAATAGGGGAGGGAGTCCTCTAGCAAGAAAATACACACACACACACACGAGTGGTACCTTGGCTTAAGAACTTAATTCGTTCTGGAGGTCCGTTCTTAACCTGAAACTGTTCTTAACCTGAGGTACCACTTTAGCTAATGGGGCCTCCCGCTGCCGCTGTGCAATTTCTGTTCTCATCCTGAAGCAAAGTTCTTAACCCAAGGTTCAGAGTTAGCGGAGTCTGTAACCTGAAGTGTCTGTAGCCTGAGATACCACTGCACACCCATTATTCCTACCAGGTTGTTCCTCCACCCATTTCATCTTCACAACAACCCTGTAAGGTAGGTTAAAAGGTAGCGATTACCCCCAGGGAGAGAACCATGTATGGTGCCTTGAGCTCCCTGGAGGACAAAGAAACACTTTCATGTACTTTCCTTTGGACCTTTGAGCTTCTCTGTAAGCTGTGCCACTGCCACAATACTTTGTTTCTTCAGTAACCTGCAAGGAAGCGGCACACATACATAACTGCTGATCTCAGTTTATATTAAGTCATGTGGTCATGTGGTAAGGTTGTAAAAAAAAAGTCCAATGCATTAGGTAATTTTCAAGTGTGTAAAAGTGCTGCAGAACTGCAAATATTTCTGCAACCTTTGAGATGACATTGTTAAAAAGGGGTTTTTAAAAACAACAACAACAACTGTGGCATCGTGAACACAAGTGAGTGAAAGTGAGGCAAATATAGAGAGGATTTCTGCCTCTGCAGACCAAGGTTCAGTCACTATTTCTCAGCCTAGCCTACTTCACAGCATTGTTGTGAGAGGAAACTGAGGAAAGGGAGAACCATGTATGGTGCCCTGAGCGCTGAAATGAGGCTGCATTTTAATGTTGTGTTTTAATCTTGTTTTTAAGTTGTATTTTAATCAATTGTTTTTTATCCCTGGTGTTAGCTGCCCTGAGCCCGGTCTTGGCTGGGGTGGGCGGGGTATAAATAATTTTTATTATTATTATTACACAACTAAATATAAAACCTACAAACAACTAAGATCTGTGACCATCTGCAATCTAGTTTCACGAGCAGGTTTCCTTACAATAATGTGCAATATATAATCACACAGGTTAATTGTTAATATAAAAATTGCATCCTTATAAGCAACTGGGTGTGGTTCCCCCCCCCTTGTTCATCACCATTAAACACACACACACACAACTTAGTAAATGAATAGCCTGTTGTATTACAAAGTCCTCCCAGCTGTCAGCTAAGCCACAGACGAGGAGGAGGAATTAAAATGAATCTCATACTGGAACTCCTGCGGCTCGTAGGCATTATAATCTATTCGTACCTGGAAGCTTGTGTGAAACTTGTTATTCCTGCGAAAAGAAAATCTGTCAGTGGTGAGATTGTGCTTATCACTGGAGCGGGACACGGCATCGGAAGACTCACTGCCTATGAATTTGCCAAACGGCAGAGCAAACTGGTGCTCTGGGATCTAAACAAGGTACAAAATAGCTCCCCCTTTGAAACCCTATAACGAATGGGAATGGTAAATGCTGGTGTGTGGAAATAATGGCTAGCAGGTTTCCTGGATTCTTAGTATCATGTGCAGTTAGTCCTACTCATGTTTTCTTGGGGGAAAACTCCATTGACTTCAGTGGGATGTACTGTGCTACTTCATTAAGTCCATTTGCCCTTCTGCGGCAGGCAGATTTGTGGGCAGGCCATGGGGATGCTCCCAGGATTGGTGTATGACAAGCTGGATCGTTCCCTGCCACCATTTTGACAGGTAAGGGTATCCTGTTAAAAGGATCCAGAAGGGATGGCTCCTGTCTGACGCCCAGATGGGGGCTAGGGCCTTTCCACTCCTCCGAAGGCAACCACTTGGGGGATGCCCTGATTTGACACGGGGCATAGGTTGGCTTCATCCTTGGAGATACTTCCAGCTGATGGGCTGGAGTGATATTTGCAGTGACTTACCTCAATGCCTATGGCCAAAACCTACACATCTGTAGCCAACAAAGTTGTGGCCCTATTTAATCCCATAAGACTAAACACTGTGTACTGTTTAGTTATTTATCCTTGCAGGAACGAGGCAGCCCTGGGGCCTTGGCACGCAAATATGCCTAGGGCTGCACTCCATGTTTGCTTATAATGGTAGCTTCTGATCTTTGTGTGGGAAGATGGAGTAAAATCTACCCAACATGTGCATCTTTATGCTGTCTTCAGTGGTGTTTATCTTCAAGTTAAGCATGCCTACAATGGCAGCTCTCAATACTCTTTTGCAACATTGGGCAGATTATGGTTGTTGTTGTTGTTTTGTTATTATTTATTGAATTTACATACCGTCCTAGACCCAGAGGTCTCAGGGCAATTCACAGAAAAGATCAACATAAAAACCACAATATGTATAATCAGAATAAAAACAACAACCCAATAACACACACATACACACGTTGTTGTTGTTATTTAGTCGTTTAGTCGTTTATTTGTTGTTATTTAGACCCCATGGACCAGAGCACGCCAGGCACTTCTGTCCTCCACTACTTCCCGCAGTTTGGTCAAACTCAAGCTGGTAACCTCGAAAACACTATCCAACCATCTCGTCCTCTGTCGCCCCCTTCTCCTTGTGCCCTCCATCTTTCCCAGCATCAGTGTCTTCTCCAGGGAGTCTTCTCTTCTCATGAGGTGGCCAAAGTATTGGAGCCTCAGCTTCAGGATCTGTCCTTCCAGTGAGCACTCAGGGCTGATTTCCTTAAGAATGGATGCGTTTGATCTTCTTGCAGTCCATAGGACTCTCAAGAGTCTTCTCCAGCACCATAATTCAAAAGCATCAATTCTTCGGCGATCAGCCTTCTTTATGGTCCAGCTCTCACTTCCATACATCACTACTGGGAAAACCATGGCTTTAACTATACGGACCTTTGTTGGCAAGGTGACGTCTCTACTTCTCAAGATGCTGTCTAGGCCTGTCATTGCCCTTCTCCCAAGAAGCAGGCGTCCTTTAATTTCGTGGCTGCTGTCACCATCTGCAGTGATCATGGAGCCCAAGAAAGTAAAATCTCTCACTGCCTCCATTTCTTCCCCTTCTATTTGCCAGGAGGTGATGGGACCAGTGGCCATGATCTTTGTTTTTTTGATGTTGAGCTTCAGACCATATTTTGCGCTCTCCTCTTTCACCCTCATTAAAAGGTTCTTTAATTCCTCCTCACTTTCTGCCATCAAGGTTGTGTCATCTGCATATCTGAGGTTGTTGATATTTCTTCCGGCAATCTTAATTCCATCTTGGGATTCATTCAGCCCAGCCTTTCGCATGATATATTCTGCATATAAATTAAATAAGCAGGGAGACAAAATACAGCCTTGTCGTACTCCTTTCCCAATTTTGAACCAGTCAGTTGTTCCATATCCAGTTCTAACTGTAGCTTCTTGTCCCACATAGAGATTTCTCAGGAGACAGATGAGGTGATCAGGCACTCCCATTTCTTTAAGAACTTGCCATAGTTTGCTGTGGTCGACACAGTCAAAGGCTTTTGCATAGTCAATGAAGCAGAAGTAGATGTCTTTCTGGAACTCTCTAGCTTTCTCCATAATCCAGCCCATGTTTGCAATTTGGTCTCTAGTTACTCTGCCTCTTCTAAATCCAGCTTGCACTTCTGGGAGTTCTCGATCCACATACTGCTTGAGCCTTCCTTGTAGAATTTTAAGCATAACCTTGCTAGCGTGTGAAATGAGTGCAATTGTGCGGTAGTTGGAGCATTCTTTGGCACTGCCCTTCTTTGGGACTGGGATGTAGACTGATCTTCTCCAATCTTCTGGCCACTGCTGAGTTTTCCAAATTTGCTGGCATATTGAATGTAGCACCTTAACAGCATCATCTTTTAAAATTTTAAATAGATCAGCTGGAATACCATCACTTCCACTGGCCTTGTTATTTGCAGTGCTTTCTAAGGCCCATTTGACTTCACTTTCCAGGATGTCTGGCTCAAGGTCAGCAACCACACTACCTGGGGTGTACGAGACATCCATATCTTTCTGGTATAATTCCTCTGTGTATTCTTGCCACCTCTTCTTGATGTCTTCTGCTTCTGTTAGGTCCTTACCACTTTTGTTCTTTATTATGGTAATCTTTGTACGAAATGTTCCTTTCATGTCTCCAATTTTCTTGAGCAGATCTCTGGTTCTTCCCATTTTGTTGTTTTCCTCTATTTGTTTGCATTGCTCGTTTAAGAAGGCCTTCTTGTCTCTCCTTGCTATTCTTTGGAAATCTGCATTCAATTTCCTGTATCTTTCACTATCTCCCTCGCATTTTGCTTGCCTTCTCTCCTCCGCTATTTGTAAGGCCTCGTTGGACAGCCACTTTGCTTTCTTGCATTTCCTTTTCATTGGGATGGTTTTCGTTGCTGCCTCCTGTACAGTGTTACGAGCCTCCATCCATAGTTCTTCAGGCACTCTGTCCACCAAATCTAAATCCTTAAACCTGTTCCTCACTTCCACTGTGTATTCATAAGGGATTTATACACACACACACATCCAAAAAAGAGCCACATTTTAAAAGGGCATAGGATGTCAGTCAGATCAACCAAAGCTCTGGTTAAATAGGAATGTTTTTGCCTGGTGCCTAAAGGTGTATAATGAAGGCACCAGGTGAACTTCCCTGGGGAGAGCATTCCACAGACAGAGCCACTGCAGAGAAGGCCCTGTTCTCATGTTGCCACCCTCCGGACCTCTCAAGGAGGAGGCACATGAAGAAGGGCCTCAGAAGAAGATCTCAGGGTCTGGATAGATTCATATGGAAACAGATGGTCCTTGCGGTATTGTGGTCCTGAGATATTTCTTCATATAAATATAATAATAATAATAATAATAATAATAATAATAATAATAATAAAATAATAATAATACAGTGGTACCTCAGGTTACATATGCTTCAGGTTACATACGCTTCAGGTTACATACTCCGCTAACCCAGAAATAGTGCTTCAGGTTAAGAACTTTGCTTCAGGATGAGAACAGAAATCGTGCTCCGGCGGCGCAGCAGCAGCAGGAGGCCCCATTAGCTAAAGTGGTGCTTCAGGTTAAGAACAGTTTCAGGTTAAGAACGGACCTCCGGAACGAATTAAGTACTTAACTCAAGGTACCACTGTAATAATAATAATATGCACAAGATGGAAGGAGCCAGGTGTGATTTTTGTACTCTACTGCTAGTGGCAATGTGGGAGACCTCTAAGCTCACATGTGCATGGATGAAGTGTGGTTACTTGATACTAAAGGGAAAGCACTCTGAATATGCTCTTTTCTTTGCTGCGTTGTGTATTCTGAGGTTGTGTATTTGGATTCTTGGGCTAAGACCCTGCTCTTAATAAACAAAGAAGTGAGGAACCTGTGCCCCTCACAGCTGCCGTTGGACTCCAGTTCCCATCATCCCCAGATAGCTTGGCCAATGGCCAGGAATGATAGGAGTTGTTGATCTGGAAGGCCACAGGTTTCCTGGCCCCGTTTTAAACCTTTCCCTGCTGTATTTAGTTAACTTATGTAGTATTCCGTATATACCACCTTCCGTCTGTGATGGCGTATCAGGGGTCAGCAAACCTTTTCAGCAGAGTCCCTCTGCTGTCCCTCAGACCTTGTGGGGGGGGTCAGACTATATTTTGAAGGGGGGATGAATGAATTCCTATGCCCCACAAATAACCCAGAGATGCATTTTAAATAAAAGGACACATATAAAACACACTGATTTCCAGACTGTCCGCAGGCCGGATTTAGAAGGCGATTGGACCAGATCCGGCCCCCGGGCCTTAGTTTGCCTACCCATGACGTACATGATTTTGCCCCTGAAAGGCAGTGATTGGCCCAAGGTCATCTCATGGACTAAGTGGGCCTTTGAATTCTGGTCTCCCAGATCCTAGCTAGACACTCACGATATGTACTGAATGCAAGGAAATGAGCCATTTTTCTCCCTTTCTGCATGGCATAGCATGGCGTTGAGGAAACAGCTGAAGAGTGCAGAAATCTGGGAGCCACGGTTCATGCCTCTGTTGTGGACTGCAGCGTCAGAGAGGAAATCTACAGTGCTGCAGAGAAGGTGAGACCTGAAAGCTGCAACGTTTGTTTGTTTGTTTGTTTGTTTTGTTTTGTTTTTTTAGTCCAATAATAAAGGTATTGCCTGCCTATGGATTCTGTGACTGTAAATCTAATCCCGGCTGCTCTTCTCGTTTGTCACAATTTAAAGGTGAAAAGAGACATAGGAGATGTCAGTATTTTAGTGAATAATGCCGGTGTGATAGCAACAGCAGATCTCCTTTCCACCCAGGACAAGCAAATACAGAAAACATTTGAGGTCAACGTGCTCGCTCATTACTGGGTAAATATTGTTTGGGTACTGCTTAATCGGTGCTTTTTCTCTATTAAAAAAAATGTTTAAGGGTACTCTCATTGTCCTACTCATATTGAAATACTGCCCCTCAATGAGGCTAAACGTAGATTCACAAAATGTTAAGGGGTATGTTAACCCCTGCGTCCCCGCCCGAAAAAGTAATAATAATAATAATAATAATAATTTATTTATATCCAGCCCGCCCCAGCCAAAGCCGGGCTCAGAGCGGCTAGCAACAAGTAAAAATAGCAGAGTAAAATAGCAGAGTAAAAATAGCAGAGTAAATAAAATCACACAGTCAATTAATTAAAATACATTCTAAAATCAGTTCAGAATCAAATTAATGGCTAGAGTTCTATGAGGATTACAGAAGGAGACGGGGGGGGGTCAGACTGTGCCTTGGCCAAAGGCCTGGTGGAACAGCTCCATCTTGCAGGCCCTGCGGAAAGATGTCAAGTCCCGCAGGGCCCTAGTCTCTTGTGACAGAGCGTTCCACCAAATCGGGGCCACGGCCAAAAAAGCCCTGGCTCTGGTCGAGAACAACCTAATACATTAAAAAGTACTAATGCACTGCTACAGTTATACCTGATAATCCAAAGTAAACTATGACCAATGCACTTATATCATTTACATGCTAAATATTATGGTTGATACACACTTTGTCATAACTTAAGCTGATTTCCAGGGGGGGGGGTGAAATATACTCAGAGTCGCGAAGTGATTTCATGCTCTTTATTCAGCTCATAGTGGTGAGGAGGAATGAATGAATGTCCCCTCAAAGTATCTGCTTTATATACATTATTTACACAATGGGCTGCACATGATTGGCTAATTCCGGAATTCTACTGTAAGCCAATCAGGTTGTGGATTCACTTCTATCTGGAGCATGATTGGGTAGTTCTTGCCAACCAATCATACTGCTGCATTGTTCTAGGACCAATCAGACTGCTGCATTCTGAATCCTATTGTTCTAGGACCAATCAGACTGCTGCCTTTTGGATCCTATTGTTCTAGGACCAATCAGACTGCTGCCTTTTGGATCCTATTCAACTCAGTACATAACACGGGGAATCTATTCATTTGGAGGCCGCTACTGAGCTGGTCTTCAAAATCATCGAGCTACACCCCTTTTCCCACAAGCAAACATATTTTCAAAAGCAAACTGTTTAAGGGGGGATGACTGTCTCCTCCACCCCAAAAACCCTAGGCAGAAAATGCCTTGCAAGCAGGGCATGCAAGGAAGTAGCCATTGCCTGGATTTAAAATTCATTCTTCATAGACAGTTGGGATAGCTCATCTGGTAGAGCACAAGACTCTTGATCTGAAGGTCTTTTCCAACTCTACAGTTCTATGATTCTATAAAGACCTTGGGCGATCAGAGTAGCTCCTATTTGGTCCTCATCACCCCTGAGGTTAATGTCATAGAGCATCTCCAGCAAAGTGAATGAAGATGCTTCCTTCCTTTTCTTGCCATGTCAGATCCGTAGCAACTGATGGTGGCGTGCCACTGCGGGCCAGCCCCAATGGGGAAGTTCTGTTTGAGGCGCTCCATCAGGGTGTGACAAGGGTGCAGAAACTCACCATGGGCAAATGGTTGTGGATGAGCTTGCTCCTAGCTTAGAAACTGGGGCAGCTGATGGGGTGTGGGAGTAAACCTGAACAGGTTTGTTTGTGGACGGAGTGAGTGAACTCATCTTCCAAGCAAGACATGGAACTCTAGGTAAAGTGTGGATGTGGTTCATGAACTTGCATCCAGCGTGATTACGGGATATTTGTTGGTTGGGGGGGCGTTGAAATATTTGTTTGATTTCTGTTGCATTTTTATTGAATATTTCACTTGTGATAATATGCTCTTTAGGCCAAAAAGCAGCATATAAACAAACAGTAATATAGCAAAAGGAAATACTAGATATTGGGAATCTAACAATGCCTTCCCCCTTCTTTTCAAACTTCAAGACAACAAAAGCATTCCTGCCAGCAATGATGAAAAAGAACCATGGCCATATTGTCACTGTTGCATCAGCTGGTGGGCACCTGACAGTCCCTTTTCTGGTGTCTTATTGGTGAGTGTAATAGAAACATTTCTGTTCATACCAAAGAATGCTCCAATTAGTCTAGAATAAAACTGTTATTATCTCAGTGGTCTGTGTTTGCCTGAGCTTGAGTCTGGGCTAAGGATTCTCAGCCCCTGTGTTCTGATTCGATACATGATATCCAATTACAGGACATTTCAGGATTTGGGCCTCTGCCATTGGCCCTTAAACTCTGACTTATGATTCGCAGCTTGGAAGTTTAGACTTCCAATCACGTTGGGAGTGGGAGTGGCCCAGGCCTTCAGAAATGTATATAAGCAGTTGCTTTGCCCCTGTTGTCCCGTTCTGTAGTTCAATAAAGGTTCTTGCTGTTATCACTATGTCTTTCCTTGTGGGTGATATCCAACAAAGGCATATTAAGGGTAAACCCACTGAAATCAGTTTAAGTGCTGTGAAGAACTTTGGTCAATTATAAGTGATTTATTTTCTGTAAGTTTGTTACTAATTCTCTAGTATTATCTGTCTTAGCAATTCATTGATAGCGGCTATATTTTGAAAGCTTGCATGTTGCACATACATTGGGTAATGTATATCAATCTGCTACTGGGTCAAGTTCATGGTGTTAGTACTAATAGATAAGGTCCTTTACACCTCAGGACCGGGTTACCTGAGAGACTACACACCCAATCAATGTCTGTGGGAACATTTCTCCGGCAAGTTCCAAAGATCTCTACTGTAGCAGGGCTTTTAGTGTTACTGCCCCTGTTCTGTGGCATAGTGCCTGTTGAGATGTCATAGGCATTGAGATATTCCTGCATTGCAGGGGGGCTGGACTAGATGACACTTGGGAGCCCTTAAAACTCTTTGATTCTAGGCACCCACAACTGGATACATTTTTCTTCTGAATGGTACAGAACACTGATCCAAATCCCTACTCAGAAGTCATTCCCACTGAATTCAGTAGGGTTTCTTGTCAAAAAGTATTTTCAGGACTTTCCCAGGTGGACAAATAGGTCTTTGCTACGAGTGTCATTTTTTTTAGAAGTTGTATTAAATATATCAGCTGTTTTTTGTGTGCTATTAACTTTTTCCCCTGCTTTTATTGTCCAACATCTTGAAATGGTTGTGTAGACGGTGATTAATAATTAATAATAATATTAATAGCTAATAAATGTTTTCAAAGATCTCCCAAATCTCCTCTTCCCCTTAGCTCAAGTAAGTTTGCTGCTGTTGGGTTTCACAAAAGTCTGACTCAAGAACTGTCTGCTTTGGGAAAGGATGGGATAAAAACTACATGCCTTTGTCCAGTGTTTATTAACACTGGCTTTGTTAAAAATCCAAGATCAAGGTAAGTAATGAGAAGGCTCTTTTCCTTTTTAAAAAATAAATCCCCTTTTGAAACAGCTGCTCCTGTTCAAGAAAAACATGAATAACAGTCTCCAGATTCATTGGAAAAAAATCTGGTCACCATAGTCTACTGACATATCTGTTGGCTGAACAGATTCTTATTCTTCCACCACCACATGTAGTACGACTTCCTCTGTCTCAGACTGCGCTGGCTCCCCCCACCCCAGGCTCCTGCTTCGCAGGTGGCATCAAACCCCATAAATCACTGGTTCCTTCTCCTAGATCACTTTCCTGGTCCCCTGCCTCCGCTCCACGCTCTACAGGTTCCTGTCGGTCACTGACATCATGGGATTAATTTCATGGGCTAGCAACAAAGGAAACCATTACAGTGCTCCTCGGGTTACATACACTTCAGGTTACATACGCTTCAGGTTACAGACTCCCCTCTGCTTCAGGTTAAGAACTTTGCTTCAGGATGAGAACAGAAATTGTGGTCCGGCGGCGCGGCGGCAGCCGGAGGCCCCATTAGCTAAAGTGGTGCTTCAGGTTAAGAACAGTTTCAGGTTAAGTATGGCCCTCCGGAACGAATTAAGTACTTAACCTGAGGTACCACTGTAGACTTTTGGAGGGATTGCAGAGAGTTAACAACATTTAAGAAACATTCTGGCAATTATTATAACAATGTTGCTACAGCTAATCTCAAATTGCCCCATATCCATGTTTCTGGCAACATTTTAGTGAGTGTTTTCCTTTAACCGCAGGTTGTCGCCTATTCTGGAGCCTGACATAGTTGCGAAGAAACTCATCAATGGAATTCTTTGCAATCAAAACATGATTTTCATTCCTTCGTTTGTGAAATTCCGCCTGCTGCTGGAAAGGTATGTGGGGTGCACGTAGGAGAGGAGCAATGAATTTCCGAGTTGTTATTTGGGTTAAAAACATGCCTTGTGGTCAAAACAACATCAACAGAAAACAGGCAACCAAAGTCAAGTACCTGTATCTAAAAGAATTCTGAGCTTCTGTGACGGTTGTAACTTGATGCTTCTATTTTCTTTGCAGAATCTTACCCGAGCGGGCCTTGGTGGCTCTGAACAAGTTCACAAACGTGAAATTCGATGCCATTGTTGGAAGCAAGAGAAAAGAACATTAGATCAAGAGATGCCTTCACTTGGGGTGTATATGAATCCATTATTCAGGTGCCTGATTAATGCCAGGCAATGAGTAAATTATGTAACACCTTGTCTGTAACCTGCAGATGGAATCCCCTGAACTTCCCATCCCAAATATATTAAAAGCACAGTATCTTGGCGTGTATATTGCTTCTTGGTATGTTGCAATCACATACTTTCTTCCATTCTTTACGTTTATATGCCACCTTACGGGAGCAGCTCATCCATTAAGGCAGAGATGCAGCGAGGCAGCCCTAGAAGTTTCTTGCTGCTTTCGAGGAGGAAGAGCGATGAGCTGGTAGCAAGTTTGTGACTGTGTGGGTGTACTGGCAGAGCCAGTTCCACTGGCGGTGTGCCTGTGCAGCTCCCCCTTGCAGTTCCCTTGCCTCTCTCCCTTGCAGTAAGCAGCAGCAACACCACAGTCATACAATCATAGAATTATAAATTGTAGAGGACCCTGATGCTGGGAAAGATGGAGACCCTGATGCTGGGAAAGATGGAGGGCACAAGGAGATGCTGGGAAAGATGGAGGGCACAAGGAGATGTTGGGAAAGATGGAGGGCACAAGGAGATGTTGGGAAAGATGGAGGGCACAAGGAGATGTTGGGAAAGATGGAGGGCACAAGGAGAAGGGGACGACAGAGGGCAAGATGGTTGGATAGTGTTCTCGAAGCTACCAGCATGAGTTTGACCAAAGTGCGGGAGGCAATGGAAGACAGAAGTGCCTGGCGTGCTCTGGTCCATGGGATCACGAAGAGTTGGACTCGACTAAACAACAAGAGGACCCTGAGGATCATCTAGTCCAACCCGCTGCAATGCAGCTGTCCTACACAGGGATCGAATCTGCAACCTTGGCGTTACCAGCACCAGCTGAGCTATCCAGGCTTTGCTATTGCCATGTCTCCACAAGGGCTGGGCGATATATCAATATATCATCCAAAACTGGTTTGAAATCCATATTGTGATACTGGTTTCATAATTTTTGACCTGGCAATATATTGTGAATCATGGTGTGTGTGTGTGTGTGTGTGTGTGTGTGTGTGTGTGTGTGTGTGTACACTATGCAAAAATCACAATGTGGGGAAAACTGTGAAGACAGCCAATGCCTCTACATAGCTCCATCCTTATTTCAGACATTGTGATATACAAGTCTATCGTGATGTTTAGCAGGTGATATATCATGATGTTGAAAACCAGATATTGCCCAGCCCTACTGTTCAACTCTACATAGATCCACCCTTATTTCACAAATCATGATATCTCTGTATATCAGATGTTTAGCTGGCAATGCCATAGAATTAATTAAGCAATGGCAGGGCAATGTTAACTTGACATGCAAGTAGAAAGTACGATTCACTGATAAAGGCAGTAATTACAGGGGCAATGACTGACGCCATGCTAATGGTAATACTAGTGGCAAAGGTTGGTTTCGATGGGAGAGAAACATCCAGGAATGGGTAAAATCAGCCAGATACACTTCATGTAATCTGTTTGTAGACACTCAGCAGGAAATACTAAATTACTTGCCATTGTGACATGCATTTTCCAGGCACAAAACAAAGGATCACATGAGTGAAAAAATGTGGGCACTCATAAATATTCATGCTATTAATGTTGTTTGATCCTGATATTTCCCAGCAGAGTTTGTAAAGTATGAAGGAGACATCCTTCCCTGTCTCCCACCAACATTACATCCATGATCACACAGTAGAAAAACCATATTTCACACTCATGTTTATTGGGTTCTGCTGCATTATTTCATACTTCAAGGGGGAAAGTTGTAAATGCCTCATCCACCGTCCAATGACATTTTGCATTTCTCCCTGAAAGAACTGAGTTAGAGGCTTCATTCGTTTCATGAAACAAAACATTATTATTTCTTTGTTTAGAGAGGGCGGAAACTTAACTCTGGATTACACCATTCTTAAGAGATAGGAAGACATCATTTCAGTTGCAAGGAAAAGTTGATTTCTCCATGCCATCAGCGGCGTAGCGTGGGTTGTCAGCACCTGGGGCAAGGCAAGTAATTTGCGCCCCCTAACCCGGGGCAAGGCAAGTAATTTGCGCCCCCTAACCCGGGGCAAGGCAGGTAATTTGCGCCCCCTAACCCCTAACCTGCCGCCACTGCCAGCTTCTTCTTGCTGCTGCCTGGTCTGGTCTGGTGTGGTTCTCTCCTGCGCTCAGCGCTGCGCTGGGCGGCCGCTGCACTGTCCCTCCCCCAGATAGTCCCTCGCTCTCTCTCCGCACCGCACGCCTGGCACCCACCCCCTCCACAGTGGGCGGCGACCCGGAGGCTCGGATCGGATTCGCACACCAGCACTGCAGTGAGAGAGAGTGAGTGAGCCAGGTAGGGGCAGAGAGCTGCGAGCGCGCCCCCCCAGATGTTGCACCCGGTGCGGCCAGCCCCCCCTGCACCCCTCACACTACGCCACTGCATGCCATTCATACATAGATAGGTTGATGGAGCTACTTGCTACAAGGAGAAGGTGTATGATAGGTTTTCTAACAGATTAGGTTTTATCCAGAATTAAAGCTTCAAAGAGTTAAAAGCGATTACAAACAGGAATCCCATCCCCTTAGTTTTCCTTGTCCTTGTATCCAATGGTAAAATCAAATTTAAGTTTATTCAGCTTCCACAAAGCTTTAGCTCCACGAGTTGGAAGAAACCTGGAGAAAAGAGGAAGATATATTAGTTTTGACTACCTGTTTCAATGTTGGGCATCCTGCAACTTTCTAAATGTTGGACTTTGACTCCCATCAGCTGTGGCCAGCACGGCAATGGTAAGGGATGACTGAAGTTATAGTCATGTGAAGACCTATATGTTCCCTGTCATTTGTCTACCTGGAAGTAACACTCTGAAAGCAACAGACACATGAATTAGGCCAAAAGTGGTTTTGGTTTTTGTGTTTTGTTTCTTAAAAAAAATTCATTTAGCAGTTGGCTTTAATTTTTCAGCATACTTACCTATCCAGCATGACACTGACTTTCAGAAATCGTGGGATGAAAATCATGCTCTCATTGGTTAGAATTCCCTTCATTGCTTGACTTGCAACTTCTTCAGGCTCCAATGGAGGCATTAATCTGAAGTTAGAGAGGAAAAAAGCAACATTCTATTTGCCTATTCTTTGCAAGATCAAGGCTTGGAACTTGTGACCAGTACAAAAATCAGGCAATGGGATGATGCTCACATAATAGGCCTGGACCACAGGTAAAGGAAGCCAGAACACAAGAGAAGGTAGGGGAGGATTTCTTTTAACTGAACGACCTAAAACGAATCTAAATGGAAACTCAGATTATTTTAAAAAGAGGCTGGGCCACTCCAGACTGTTATTTTATTGCAGCAATATTCTGCAACATGCTCTCTGATGCTATAAAAGTGTGTTAGTGGTGGATTTATTTTGCTTTATTTGTTGTTCTGCGACGCTTCCCCAATACCACCTACCACATTATTGCTGTCTGGAAAGCACCACAAAAAACCCATGCTATGCCACCGATATAATCTGTGGCGTGAAAAGTTACAGGATTTCAGTAGGAAGTTACTGTTGGAAATGAAGCAATATGACCCCCCTGAAACTTTTGCAGGCAAAAAGAGTATTGAAAGTGATATTGTGTATGACCACCAAAATAACATCTTGATAAGCACAAATCATCATGAATGTTCAATAAAAAAAGACATCTGGGACACAACAATAGACGGAACAAAAGGAAAGGAAGGACTAAATGATTGGCACTACAAAAGGGCACTTTTAACATTGGATTTTTCTAAATGTCAATGTCACACCTTTCTTATTCAGTACCTTGAAGACGGATTTTTGACAAAGTCGGAATTTATAAACATAGGGCAGATGCATGAAGTCTTGACCCCGTCTTTCTTCAGTGCAGACAGCTCTTCTGTCAGAGCTCGGTGAAGCCCAACTGCAGCGAATTTGGACGAGCTATGAGAAATTTTGGACATAGCTTATTGGCTGGATGATCATGATTGCCTTCGGCACAATACAAATCTCACATGAAACATCACAAATATTCAGGGACAACATGCAGCTGTTTTTAGAGCTGTTGGCCCTCTCTAACCTCAGACCTACACATATGGAGTGAATTTGTTCTAGAGTAGACTTATGAGCTTCCTCTCCACATGCTAATTTTATAATGCATGCATGTGCTTTTGCCACTCAACTGCTGATCAGCTACTGGAAGCACATTTTGGCCAACTGGGATTTGGATATTCAGTGAAATCTTCGCCCACTCAGCAATCCCAGGGTCATGAGAATTACGGTAGCTTTAGGTTAGGAATCAAGCACCACTCAGTTCCTCTGGTTAAAGTAAGATGGCTATAGTTATGATGATCTCTTATTGACTGGGCTCAGGTTTCTAGCTCCTAAGCATGTGGGATGTGAAAATGGTGAGAGCACTCTGAAATCCTTTAGTTTGGGAGGGAATCATTTTATTATTCTCCTTCTGCATCAGGGATCGAGAAATGGTGGTGCGTCAACTGTTGCTGGACTGCAACTCCCACCATCCCTCACTATATTGTCCATGCTGACCAGGACTGATGGGAGTTGAGAGTCCAGCAACATATGGAGGGTCACAATTTCCCCACCCCTGCCTGATGCTGTGATTCCGCTGCCTTACATGTATCGTAATTTTGACAAATGATTGGCTTGTTGCATTTCATGGTACTTTCATTGTATCTTTGGTGGCATCCATGCGCTGTTCACCAAAGTGGGGACCTCTGGTCCAAGAGGTAAAGGTAAAGGGACCCCTGACCATTAGGTCCAGTCGTGACCGACTCTGGGGTTATGGCGCTCATCTCGCTTTATTGGCCGAGGGAGCCGGCTTACAGCTTCCGGGTCATGTGGCCAGCAGGACTAAACTGCTTCTGGCGAACCAGAGCAGCGCATGGAAACGGCGTTTACCTTCCCGCCACAGTGGTACCTATTTATCTACTTGCACTTTGACATGCTTTCGAACTGCTAGGTTGGCAGGAGCAGGGACCGAGCAACAGGAGCTCACCCCGTTGTGGGGATTCGAACCGCCGACCTTCTGATCGGCAAGCCCTAGGCTCTGCGGTTTAGACCACAGAGCCACCTGTGTTGCTTGGGGTGCAGGTAAGGGGGCCCTTAGTCAAGCCCAAACATCCAATGGGA